AGGAGCTTCGTGCTCAACTTAGTTATCAATCTTATCATATTAGTTTGACATCTTTGATACAAGTAACGAGTTCACTTCCAAGTGAACAACCCGATAGTCTTCTTCTTATCATAGCATACCAACCAGCGAACACCCAGCCAAGTTTAGTTAGCCAGTTTGAGTATTCGTTACATTAGTCTAAATACTACCTAAATTACCTATATATCCCCGAGTTAGCTAAGGCTATATAAAAGTTAACTAACTTAGAGTTAGTACTCTTTGTTATTATTTCTTTATAATCTCTTAATTTATATCCTTAATATATAGGAATATCTCTCTTAATCTTATACCCTAGTTTTAAATATACTTTAATTTATTATTATTATATTATTTATATTATCCTTAGTATAATAATTCGAATAGTAATACTAATAGTAAAATCTTCGATCCTATATTTATTAATATAGGTAACTTAATACCCTTTTCGAATAGCGTTCTCTTTAGATTCTTAAGGTATACTCTCTTTCTAATTACTTTAAACTAATTAATATCCTACTTTTTAAAGTCTTCCTAGTATATATTAAAGAGCTTCTCTTCTTCCTCCCTATAGTAATATTCTTATATCTTATTTAATATAATTTGTTCTAACTTATCTTTTATTAGTATCTTAAGATTAGGTAAAGCAGTTAGTTTTATCGAAGGTAGTCTTACTAAAGATAGTCTTAAAAGAGAAGGAGAATTTATTAAAGCTAGTATTTTCCTAGTATTTAAGGCTAGTAGTTTACTAGTATTCGAAGGTCTTACCTTTCTACTTATCTTATTTGTTTATTTAAATACTAATATTTTAAAAGTATTATTAAAAAGTATATATAGTTATAAATTAAGTACCTAGTTCTTAGTATTCTTAGCTAGGCTAGTAAAAGAAATCTAGAGGCTATTTAGTTAAGGATAATAGTATTGGCTTCACCCTTTAGGAAAGTATTAAATAATATAATATTTATATATAAAATTCCGTTTATATCTTATAGATTCTAATAAAGAATCTTAGAACGTAAGTAAGTCTTTTAATCTATACGCGTATAATACTAATTAGTATTAGTATTACTTAAAGTAAAGAGATACGGTATAACTTTGTTTAGTTATATTCTATATAAAGTTCTAAAGGAGTATATAGTATTATTACTAATATATAGAGTATATACTATACTATCCAAGATAGTAGTATATAACCGCCCTTCTTTTTACCTAGGACCTAATTATACCGATATTTAATAATTACTAATATATAATAGAAGGTAGGATTAAAGTTTAAATTAAACTTTAGGTACTAGACTAGGCTTATAACTATAAGTTACCTTATAGTTAGCTAATTATAATAGGAATTATAATAAGTTTAAAAGAATAAAGTATAAAAAGTAATAAGATTATAAAAGAAGTAGTTATATTAAGTTAAAAGCTTATAGAATTAAGTAGGAGGGAGCACAGGTTTATATAGACTAGCGCGCATGCCCCTCGGCTAATACCTGGACAAGCTCCACTATAACGGCGGTGGAGTGCCACAGGTGACATAATATACCACGTGACAATAAGCTTAATAATCCGCTTGTAGATTCCCTGCTCGGTTTTCCCTCTGTATTCATCTTGTAAGCGAGCACGTTCCTATTCGGGATTAGGCCTGATGTCAAATCATTACGGACACTCCGTATAACGCGTATACCGACTTCCTGTACCTTATCATGTCCTATCCTCTGCTATTCCATCCGATACACCAGCTGGAGTGGTGTTGAAGGGCGGGCGGGGTAGGAATTATATTATATGGAGGTATGTGTGTTTTTATACTGTAAGCGAAGGGTGCGGAAGATATACTCTACTCTACTCTACTCTAATTGTTATCTTGATTATAGTATTATATGTTGCTAGGAATATGGAAGGCCAGGGTGCCAGAAGAGTTGTATTCAGATGATTAGGGAGCTAAGCACGTACTATGGGCAGGAGCCTGGCTTATATGGCCCTGGCATATGCCCCTCCTTTGTTGTATACTCCTGTTTCAATATATGTAGGTTCCGTGCGGTGGAAACCACTGGTTAGCATAATCCTGACAACATTATATAGAAGTCCTATAAAGTTTCTATATTATAGCTGTGTTTTGTTTTGTTGCAAAGTCACGTTTTAAGACGGTGTCTTATTAGGATGTTACTTGTGTAATGGAAGTTTCTGCTGGGAGTAATTATAAATATATAGAAGTCTTAGGATCGGATTCTAATACTAGTATTACTACGAAAAATAAGATCCCTATATCTATCAAGAACTGATAATGAGGAAGCCAGAGGGCTGCATTGGGTGCTTTACATGGCATGGGTATACTGTATCATCAATTCTCTCAACTGTCGTTGGTTAGATACTAATGAGTTGCAGAAAATTTTATCAACTTTTATGTGAGGTACTCTATATAAGCGATGCTCAACAAAAGTCCCAGAAATCGCTTTTAATTTTGGCCGGTATACTACAGGACAAGAATCTGGGTGGAGACATGTAAGATTACTCGTAAGTTAGCTTTTCAACCAAGATAGAGATTTAAAGGGGAGGAACTGAAAGTTACCATCAAGGCATGTAGTTCCTCTCTCCTTCCAGAAAACACTCGGCTTTTCATCCTAGATGTGTATATGACCCACCTCTAATGCACCATTTATAAATCACAAATCACACCGGCTAATAATCAAGCTCCCCCGCTCACTTCTCCCCTCTCGCAATATAATACATACATCTCGTAGGTCACGACAGAGAAGGCCGAGTATGTCACCGTCTTGCGGTTAATACTCCAAATACCCGTGCTTCACGGCGCAATTAGAAGCACACTGCTTTTGGATATCATGAACACTGCCGTACAGTGGAGAGTGTTACGTGCTCGAGTATGCAGCAGTGACCTGGAAAGAACGAAAGTGGCATCGTGGAGTTGAAGGAAGATGATGCGGAGGGCATGTACCGAATTTTGTGAAGGTACGAGCAAGTTATTCGTGCTTCTTGCGATGACTAGTGCCAAGACTTTTGGAGATGTTGAGGAGGAGGACAGGTGGAGTGGAAGCGGGATGAGGGAGGGGCCTGGGATGGATTATGATGTCTTTGTTTTTTATTCTGAGCGTTTCCTTTGGGGGGGGGGAAGAGGTGATGTCAATGATTGGCGGTTGTTGATTGGGAAGGGTTGTTTAGAAGTCAGAGGGTTGGGGGGATGGTGTTGGATGTTTTCTTGCGGAGGAGGCGGAGGAGGTTGTGGGTGATGTTGAGGCGATTTATGGGATGATTGCTTAGTACTTTGGTATAAAAGATCTCTGCTTTTTCCGTTTTATGGAAGCATACGTCGTCTGAAATAGTATATCCCTCACGACTCTATCGCTGTAACATCCTTGGGTCTGAGAAAACAAAATCTGTATCTGGGTCATTGTGGTTTGTCTTTGAGTCATGGAATTAAGGAAAGTTGAGAGAACAATTGTGATTGAAAACCCCCCCACGTATGAAAACAAATATTGTTTATCCTCATTCTTTTTCTTCTTCTTTCAAGGAGTCATACACAACGAAACATCATTGGCTGCGAAGAAAAGAAAGGCATTGCATGGACTTTTGGTTAACCTTAACCTTCTCACATATCTTTTTTTTGGGTCAACTGCTCTAGAATATTTTGGAGAATAAAAAAATGAGCGTATTACTAAAAATCTTATGGGGGCAAGAGCTACCTCCTTGCTCACTACAACTCGTCATCTCAATATCGCGTAGGGCTTGGCAGCTTTCCCATAAACCTTTCACCTCTTCTTTATCACTACAGCAAGAAACCTTCAACATTTTGCACAAGAACCTAGTTGGGGAAGCGGTTCTGAAACGAAAAGGTATGTTTGGATGACAAGTCCGTGATTGTCTCCCTCGCATTAGATCTGTGCTATGGTGACCCCAGATTTGCCGGTTTGACCAATTAGACTATTGCATTCGCCGTACAATAGATTTGCGGAATACCATTATAGGCTTTACAAATATAATAATCTATTCCATAATAAGCTTTTCTTATAGCTTGTTACAGTGTGAAACAAGTGGGGTAGTAGGCGTAGAATAAGGAATAGAATGTAGCAAGTAAACACCACAACACATACAAATCTATATGAGAGTATATATCCCCTTACCCTAGCGAGAGAGACAAGAGTACTACCACAGCAAAAACAACGACGAAAAACCGCTAAAAAGATAGGTAATAACACCCAAAAAAAAGGGACGAGGCGGAGCAAGAATTAGTGCTGGGCGTAAACCAAAGGCGAAATAATCGTATCTAGGAATAGCTTTACTTTTTACTTGTTTATTGCGTGGAGATTGTACTTTAATTAGTTCTTCTTTTAGGTTACTTTATCTACTTTCTTAGGCAAGGGGTGTGCTTCAATTAAAAACCAACTTTATTTATTAATAAAAGTGACAAATAATTCACATCCTAGAAGTAATCAAATAATACCGTCTAATCCACCATACGTAATAATTAGCGAATCACTAGTAGTGTTGATCAATTCGTTGATTTGAGGGTTACAATAGCACAGATCAGTACCCGAGATGATAACCTCGCCTAGCAACCACGACCAAGCTCGGATGCTCCTTCCCCATGAGTATTTACTATTGCCCAGCGAAATCCAGTCGGGATGCAAGGTTAGGTACGAAGTTTGTCTCACTCTCACAGTGGTCTGGACCTCGAGGAATCTTTGACGGTGATTAAAAAAACATCTTTAGAATGTTCCAAACTTGACACAACCATACTCTCCTCGTCCAGACCTCGGCCTCAATCCTTCTTGTCTGACTGGCATGGGCAGTACAACTTATATACACACATCACCTAAGCACTTATGATCAAGCTGAAGGCCAATCCTAACCTCTTTTCTTCGCGACCCCATCCTTAGCCTTGACGCTCCGGTCGGCCACAGTCAGTTTCGCCATGATCTCAACTGACACGATATTTTCAAACCACCATAACTCTTCCCAGATACCCTTGAAACACAATGTCCGAGATGGCAAGTTCTTGGAAACCTAATAGACTTGGAACTCTTGCTCCCTCAACAATAAATTCATCCAAGGAAGTATACTGACTTCTCGTTCTTGCAGGCATGATTGTTCTGGGTTTACTTGGACTCATATCGGCAGTTTCTACGTTCAGCTTGATTCTATTCTTGACCTACCGTATGGCATATTGGCGACGGTATTATGAAAAGCCTTTGACCAAAAATCAAGTCGTTCTTCTACTTTACAACCTTCTTCTCGCAGATTTTCAACAGTCCTTGTCATTCTGTATCTCCTTCTACTGGCTTACGCACAACAAACTCGTAGGACCATCTAAGATGTGTTTTTTGCAGGCATGGCTTGTTCACATTGGCAATGTCTCTTCGGGACTGTGGGTTCTTTCAATCGGTATACACACCTTCATTAATGTTGTATGGAGAAGAAAGGTTCCCACGAGCGTTTTCATAGCATGGGCTGTTGGAATATGGGTATTCTCCCTTGCCATCACGGCTGCAGGGCCGATCAAAATTCATAATATATTCGTTCCTACTGCTGCGTGGTGCTGGATCAAGGGCGAATACCGGTGGGAACGACTTTACCTTCACTACGCATACATCTTTCTCGCACAGATCGGTTCAGTCGTTGTTTACAGCTTCATCGCCATATTCCTTTACACCCAAGTGCATTATGCAGGGGGTCAACAGTTTTCTACTGCGCAGACACCTGGTGCTACTTTGAAACCGCAGAATGATCCTTTCGCCGAGTCCCAGAAACAAATCCTCCGGACAGCAAGATATATGGTTCTGTATCCATTAGTATATGTCGTTTTGACCTTACCGCTCGCTGCTGCCAGAGTCGCTGCCATGACTTACCACAACCCACCCAGAGAGATTTACATCTTTGCTGGAGCTATGATGACAAGCTGTGGATGGGTCGATGTCTTGTTGTATACTACAACAAGAAATATTGTCGTCTTATCGAAAGTTAATGACAAATATGCACCGAGTCAATGGCAGAGTTTTCGGATGTGGGTAAGAAGGATGTTCGGATGCGGGAACCTGGATTGAAATGATAATGGGAATCGAGGGTTGAGTGTCATTTTTATTTGAAACCTCTTTCAAATTGATGTATTCAATTGAAATTAGTGGTGGTTACATTGCCGGTCTTGTTAGCAAATATTGGCTGTCTAAGCACAGTGAAGTATCATTGAATTTCCGTAATAAAGCTGGTCGTAACTAAAAGCCACTAAAACAGGGATGGACAATAATTAACAATGGAATAATTGAATCTCATAGGGATTGGGGGCTGTTTGAGTCACTCTAACTTCAAAGTGTGTTTTGGAAACCCATTGGCCACCAACATGGCATGGCGTTGAATGATGACATGACATGACATGCACATACAAGGGGAAAGTGTAAGAAACGAAAATGATTGTTCTATTGATATTCTCGCTCCTTACTTCAGGCCCAAAGAGAAACCGCGGCTCGAAACCCCCATCTAGGACTATTCCACTGCAGTATCCTTTCTGTGCTCGAGAGGCGATGCTTAACGACGAACTCGATATAGTCGTGCACTTAAAATAGAGTGCTATATGAGTTACTGGTATCCGAGTACCTGATAAGAGCCATGTGAATTCTGTATCTACTACTCTACATCCTTCCTTTCTCCTAGACGTATTATTAAATTTGCACCTCGCGCGAGCTTTCCGACACCCAAATATCGATTATAGCATTAATTCCCTTGATATTTTGCCATTCATCCTCCTCATCATTCCAGACTGAGCCCTTGCTAGCCTCGACTCTTGTCGAGGGAGGTGAGTACTGACACCGGCCAGCAAATGTTGGACCCGAGTAGTTGTTAGATGTCCCACGCATTTTGTATTGATTGATAGGAGTTTTTTCGTAATTTGAGTCCAGTTTGTGCGTGATGAATTGACCCCACTGGGGTTTTAGGGGAGAGATATTTGCGCAGAAAATCACTCCAGTAGTGAAGGATCCCAGAATCTCCAATCGGATCCTCCGTCGTGGACTACCAACAAACAAATTCTCTGTGTGCCCAACTTTCGCACTGCATTTCAAATTCAACGTGCTAGATTCTGATTGTGAACATCCAAACCTCCTTTCTCTAGAAAAACCAACAAACCAACAATTCAGCATCTCCAGAATGGATGCCATCATCACTCAAGTTCAGAGCTTAGCGAGCAACGCAAACGAGGCTGGTCGGAAAGAAGTGATTGGCACTCTCCGCAATCTACAATATGCCGTTGAAACTCCTAATGACACTCTCAATCGTTTTGCTGGTTTGGTAAGCTACTATTACCCCACTTAAAGAAAGTGTGCTAATTTTTGAAGAATCTCCAAATTGCAGGCGCACGAATCGGAGTTGATTTAGGAATTTTCAGTGCACTTCATGAGAGCAAACAGCCATTAAGTGTCGAAGCACTAGCACGAAAGAATGGTGCTGCACCAGAACTTTTAGGTAAGGCAAAGTACAGACATAGATAGCCCAAGGCTAACCTCAGAAGGTCGCAATTTGCGTTACTTAGCGTCTGTTGGTCAAATCAAGGAGACTAGCAAAGATCATTTTAGTTCAAGCTCAATCACAGCTACACTTGCAGATGACAATTATCAGGGTGGAATTCATCATTTGTAAGGAACTCACAATTCACTTCATCGTAGCACACTAAATCTTTCTTTAGCTTCGACACTGTGGGACCATCCATACAGGAGCTGCCTGATTTCCTCGCGGCAACAAACTACCAGAATATCACGGAGAGTACCAAAACGCCTTTCAACAGGGCCTTCGACACGGAGCTTCCTGCTTTCGTATGGTTTCCGAGTCAGCCTGAGCGATTTGCCCACTTTCAAAAGGTCATGACCGTTCAACGAGCCGGTGCCCCAATTTTCATCTCGACATTCCAATTCAAAAAGGAATTGGGAAATTTCCAAGGCAAACCTGTATTTGTCGATGTTGGAGGTGGCTTTGGTAATCAAGCTATGGCTGTCTTGGAAGCATTCCCAGAACTTTCCGGCAAATTGATTCTTCAGGACCTTCCGCAAACTCTAGAACATGTTCCAGCCATAGATGGAATCCAAGTAATGGCACACAACTTCTTTGAACCACAAGTCGTCAAAGTTATGATATATCTCAAGGAATTGCGTTGTAGGACTAACATTATATCAGGTGCTAAATTTTACTACCTCCGCAACATTCTGCACGATTGGCCAGATGAAAAGTCCGTTGTCATTCTAAAGAACATCATCTCTGCGATGGAACCAGATTCACGCATTCTCATCGATGATAAGGTTCTTCCCAACGAGAAAGTCCACTGGCAAGCAACCCAAGAGGACTTGACAATGATGGCTACACTTGGCTCCAAAGAGCGTACTGTTGAACAATTGCGGGTTTTGATGGACTCTGCTGGTCTCGAAGTTCTCGACATTGTTCAGTATACTACTTCTCTGAATGACTCAATAATAGTAGCTGTTCCAAAATGAAGGGCAAACTCTGAGGGGTAGGCAGAATGTTTGAGATTGAAAGGTTATTGATAGCTTTAAGATTAGAATATAAATGTTGATTTGCTCATTTATCATTATGCTTGCTCTAAGAGGTGAACTGATGCTAAAGTCTAGTGTCGTAGTTTAGCGAGTTGCTCAATATGTAGAGCATACGGGTTTCCAGGATTTGAAATACTAACTCTATGCTTGAATGCCCGATGAAGACTGGAATCTGGTATTCCATGACTGGGAGCTCCTTTTCAAGCTATTTTTACTACATAACGTGGATACAGGAAATTGATGAACTTTTCTCATTTATAGTACCTCGTTGGCTAACCTCTTGAACCACAAGAAATCATACAAAATCACGCTGATCAGCAGCAACCAGCAATGGGTTTCTTATTCTTGCTACTTCATCCGGGGGGGAGGCAAGAAAAAAGGGGGGCAGATGAGTTTTCATTCCAGGAGATGAAGGATGGTTTGGGTATAGTACTTAAACTAATTATTAGATAAAGGGTTAAAGATCGAAATACTTTAGGTCCTCCCTAAAAACACTCAAAAAAATCCGCACCCTCAAAGAAGGCGGTCTCGGACAATAAACCAGACGAACTGAGTTTTTTTGCGGTTTGACTAGTCAATCTTCAAGTAAAGCTCTCACTCAATGTTACCATTAAGCTACGCAGGCATGTACCGGACGACTTGGTGTGAGTTGTGTTATTTAAGGTTATAACTGCGACAAGGGGTAGGGGTAAATGTAATGAATAATAGCTGGGGAAATGGACGGGATAAAAGATGTAAAGTGTTATTGTAGAGCTGAATTATGGTAGGGGTTTCGGTAATAGGTATTTATGTGCGATACCGGGTTTTGTAAGGTGTAAAAGTCTGAGATCTTTATGAATTTGGATTTAAAGTATTAGAACGAGTTATCTCAGTACCTAGACTCTCTTTATAAAGGCTTCAAGTGGTGGCCTCCCCCACGTGACCCGCCCGCTCCAACCCCGTCCCCCCGGCCCGCATCCGACGCCACAACGCCACCAACCACCACGACCAGCCTTGTTCTTGCTCTTTACCCTTCATAGTAATGATGATATTCAAGCACAAACAAAGTGGTTGATTTCGAGATTTCGATGGTATGAAGGTCAAAGTGGAGGCTTTCCTGATTTCTGAAATGGTGGGAAGGCTCGTGACCCTGTTGGAGAATCTCTCTCAACGACTCACATACTAAGCCTCCTCCTACCTTGCCCCACTTCCCTGCCCTGCCTAGAGTCTTACCAATTTTAATCATCCAACGTTGATTGAAGTGAAAATGCAAAAACAGGGATTCTTGCTGATGTAATCGCTTGAAAGGCTTCCGATTCGATCGTAGGGGTTAGTGACATCCTTATTGATGACATTATTTATATTCCACCACTTACTCGAGTAACTAATTCAAACTGAATCTCATGGGCGGGTAAAATCATCTGCTCAACCTCAAAACTATTCCCTCTCATAGAATCCCAGCCATTCATGGTAAAGCAGCAATTCACGCACCAACATCCAAGCACCCTTTGGTATCTATAAACAGGCTACGAGTTCCTCGAAGAATTCGCATGCAGTATCCTTTTCCTTAGTACCAATTATATTAATCTAACCTCGATATATTAAAATCATCATGAGAAGCTCGGTGTTGGTCGTGATTGGGGCGGGTGCTAAGATTCAGGCGCTACTGTAATAGATGTTGTCTTATCGTAAGTTTACGCCAAGGCCGACTCTAGGAGATGACATTTTCAAATGGCAGCTCTGAAGAGATTTTATTACCTTTACTAGAATTATTAAAAGTTCGGAAAAGGAATACACAGGATCTCTAGGAGATCTAAATTGTTTTGCAGGATCAGCTTCAGGACTGGGATATGAATACGACGAAGTGTAACCGCTTTTGAGCTAAGCGAGCATATTTAAGGGGGACCACTAGACCAAAAGGAGCCTGGTGGAGCCAGCAATTGGGATTTTGCTTACATGCGGACAAAAGATTGGTAGTTAGAACTTACAATTTAGAACAGATTCTTATACAAGGACTTTTTGGGAAGCTATCAAGTTCTCATGGACTTACCCTTGTGGTAGAAAGAGGGGTAAGTTAAATGCTGATTTGCGTCTCTGCTCAATCAATATCGAATAACTTATCGCAAAATACAAAATTTCTGGTGCCGGAACTTGCTATCTCTCGTTCATTTTTCTCTCAAACCCGTTCGCTGGCCTAGTAACTACCTACATATCTTAGCACGTATATCGATATACCAATTACAAAAGAATAAAGAGAATAAAATAGGGTTTGTCCGTCTCAACCTATAAAACAGTTGCCAGTCTCTCCTAGACCCAGAATTGCAAGTTGGCGAGTCGAATGCACCAATAAACGCTTCTGTACTAAATTGTAATACTGCCATCGGATCACTCACACGGTGCTATATGAGTAGGCAGAGTTTCCAAGAGCTTCTGCCCAATGTTGGGACTCAATGGACACCCGTACTCCTCGATGGCTGTACTGGAGTTCATCACTTCCCTCTCGACGACCGTTCGTGTCGCCTTCCTTCGTTCACTTGTGTCCTCTCGTGGAGAACGACCTGGGACCCATTAAGGCCAAGACACTTTTGAATATTTGAGGTCTTGAATATCTTTGCAGTGAGATGGGGGAGGAGGGATCTAAGTAGGATGAGGTCAGGATCGTCAGGTAGAAGTAGGTACTGTAGCTAAGATCATCGAGGTATTGAATACCTAGGCGAGCTGAAACCGTGCATACACCAGTGAGTGGGAGTCCTACGTTTGCAATCACACAACCAAATAATCACTTTCAAACACGCCAGATAGTTTCTTCATTTCCTCTCATTCTCTCCTCATTTCTACCCAAACCGCTCCAAATCCTCCACTCCGCTCGCTCACTCCCATCAATCCCTCATAACTCATTTCATTACCTACGCCCACAACAACGCCAAGTCCGTCATTCCCCAAAGTTTTTTTTCTCATTCATCCATCTTCATTCCACCATTTGTCCAATAAAGATGGAGTCTTGTATCTGATTCTATCCAACCAAAAAAAGGAAAGTATATAAAAATAAGAATAAACAAGAAAGAATAACCAACGCCGTCTTTTTCCCCCCGAAAATAGAAATTACAACAAAAAGATGCCCCTGCCACCTGTAGTTGTCTCGGCCCATGTAATACAATGCAGAAGGAAAGAAAGCAGAAACACAAGAACCCCCATCCGTCTAATGCAAACCCATCTATGTATACGGCCCCATCTATACTCCCTCTATACTCCTCCTCAATCCAAAATACCGCCCCTTCTATACCAATATGTTACTTATACCAGGAAGAACACCAATTCACCAGTATGCCTCTTCCCATAATTGAAATCCAAATAAAAACCAGTGGGAGGGGAGAAGAAACCGAAACGCCACCCATCCCAAAAAAGAAGAAACGCCTCAAAAACTAAATAATCCACTCCTCTTCTTCCCAAAAGGATAAACGATCAACGCACTCAAAAACAATCCAACCGTGATCCCGATCGCAACCTGAATCATGCTATACCCAACATTATACACAATGTTATTCAGATTGTCCCCGCCCGATTGCGTAATGCTGATCTGACCGAGAACATTCCCATGCGTCGTCCCATTAAATTTCGCTGTTCCATTCCTGTAAGATGTCGTGTTGGTGATCTGATCTGCACTGCTGATACCTGCTAACAAAGATCCTGCGGCCGCGAGGCCTGACGGTACCTGCACGAAGATGGCGGGGAGAATCGCAGCGGCTGCGACACCATGGCGGACTCGGGAGTAGAGGTTTCCCAGGACGCCAACGGCGAGAGCACCGAACGTATTGGATATTTGGGCCGAGGAAGGAAACTTCTTGGCTGAGTAGAAGTTGACGATGTATCCTGCAAAGGATATGAATAACATTGCCGGCGTTTGTTTCCACTTGGCTTGGTTGATTACGCATAGCGAAAGTGTGAAGAGTGGTACAAAAGCCCACTTCACATAGTCGTTCATTTGGTTGGAACAAGTCGTTGCTGAGGAGGCATTTGGATCAATTATTCCGTAGAAGGCCGAGCCAATTGTAATACCAAACCCCAAGAATAAAGAGTATATAATCGCGTATACCATTCTGACAGCCCCGGCTACCATAGACTTTGATTGAAGTTCTAGTGAACCACAAAGTACCATATAGCCGGGAAGTATAAGAGCGATAGACGATTGGGCTAGAGCAGAAAAACAGAATAAGTTGCCACCTCTTATGGAGCCAAAGGCTCGTGATAGAAAAGATGTGACGACGGCAGCGGTGATTTCGAAAACGTTAGAATAAAGGTCAGAAGTGGGTGCCACAATAAGTTGAAGGAATCCAAGTAGAGACCCGAGGAGGAACGCGATTGGAAGATCAATCCATCGAGATTGGAAAGCTGCAATAAAAATTAATAAAGTTTTTGGGTGTGAGGTATAGGGTTAGAATTTACCAAAAGGACCCACGGTAGCACTTGCGATTCCATATATGAAAACCAGCAACCAGGCGTTGTGCTTTCTCTTCGATCGCATGATTTCTTCCAGTCGCTGGGTTGCTTCTTCGACGCCAATGACATCGTGGACGACCTCTTTGTATATTTCGTGCGTCTCCTTGAGCTTTCCAAGATCTACAGCATGCGCAGCCTTGACAAGCTTGACATCGGTTGTATGTGTAGCAGGATCATCAAAGGAGAGAATCATGCAGCCGGGAATGTAGAGTGACTGTAAAGAAATCTCGAGAACTCGCGCGCTCATTTTGATGTACTCCTCAAGGCGATGAGTTGGAGCCCCGTAGATCATGAGTGCTTTGCATAGCTGTACAAGATACTTTTGCCGGCAAAGAATCTCGGCGATGTGAATTGTAACTCTGATCTCGTCCTCAAGTCTGGGCTTGAACTTCTCCATAATCTTCTCACTGGTCTTGCGTGCACCCATTCCAGGCCTTTTTGGCTTTCCCCTTTTCGTATCTGGAATTGCGCCACCGCCCTGAGCTCCAAGAATCGCCGAAGCTTCAATAAGTCCTGCCAATGTATCTTGTGATTGGTTTTTTGCTTTATACCATTTCGCAGACTTTTTACTGGGTGTGTTCATTCCCGAGGATCCCATGGGAGTGTTCGTGCCGGTGCCAGTATCCGTGTCCATGCTATTACGACGAGATGGAGTCTGGCGGCCTTGGGCTGGGTTGTAGAGCTTCAAAAGTGACGAAAGAACTCCTCCACGATATTCTTCCGGTCTTGGAACATAGTTCTCACTCAAGAACTGCTCATCGTTTGGTGTGACATTTCCCGAGGGCAAAACTGGGAGTTGTTCCTTGAGAAGCTCGCCTCGCATCTTTGTCGTATGGGCTCTGACGAGCTTGTGAGCTTCAGAACTGCTCGAAATATGGGCTGACGTTTCTGGCACGGGATCATCCTCCTCGATAGCTTGTCCATCATATGTATTGATGGGCTTCATGTTCATTAAAGGGATGTCGTCAATTCGAACAGGGTATCTATTATGTCGAACAGGCAAATCATGGTCTTCGTCATCATCGTCGTCGTCAAGGCTGCCTCTTCTCGACGTTGGGGCAGAGTTGCTCCCAACCAAGGAAGCAATTCTCTGCGCGCGCTCCTGCGCAGCCAAAGCAGAGAATGCCTTTTCTTTCACCTCGTCGACATCGTCCGGATCCGCGGTATAGCTCGAGTTCCTGAGTACACTCGGCCTGGGCTTCAAAACGGGGGTGGAACCGTTGTTATCGATTGAGTTGTTCCTTTCCTTCTGTGGGGAATGTCTTACGATGCCGACAGCGCTGCCGTTCCGTGGATGAACTGCACTCGCTTTGGAAGGTTTTGTTGGAGTAATGGCCTCTTCTGGTGATTGTGATCGGTCACGCAACGGGACACTTGAGCGCTGATTTGCCAAATCGTTTGCTTCGCTAGTGGCATTGAATCGAACTCTCCCTCGGCCTGTATTCTTCCGTTGTGGGATACCTGATGGGCTGCTGGGACGACTTTGACTCGCACTCGAATCTGCACTTCCTCCAGAGACTTCGCTGTATCCTCGTTGATGTGAACCTGCCTCACTCGCCGTAAGATAGTCACTAGACATGCTGCTTGCACAAGACACCAAGAATAAATTCTTCTGATTTAGGCGTAAAGATGCCCTTTTCGAACGGTATGACTCTCTCCTCTGCAATTGGCAATTAAAATGTTTGAGCGGTTTTATACTGATCCCGGGATATATGAAAGGTGTTTGTTTGGTGATGTTTCGTGGAGGGGCACAGGTAGGTGCAGACCGGCGTACCTGGCTTGGGGACCCAGATAGCTGACGGCAAAGAAGTGGGGTGGATGGATTATGACGCCGTCGGAAACCAGTCCAGGGATGTCGTGACGAACGAGAGTTTTTTTTCCGCTGCCGCCACAAAGGTACTCCGTAGATAAGAAGGTCCGATAACGCTAGCTCTAAGTTTTTCTCTTTTCTCTCTTTGAAAGAATGGGTTGCGACACGTCTAGATGTTCTGGAGCGGGAAAGAGACAATGACTTTGTGGAAGAGACAAGGGGGACTGGGGCAAAAATAAGAGTGAGGGAAAAAAGTTTTCTTTTCTCCAGAAGAGAGGGGAAACCCTCGGAAGGTGCGAAAAACCGCAAAGGAGGAATTGACTCGATCCAAAAATTTCAGAGAAGGAAGAGAGGAAAAGCCGTGGCTTGAAGGGCAAGCGCAAGGAGATGTAGTCGCGCCAAATTGCTAGAGCTGGATAGGCGATAGCGCTACTCGACAACTCAGAGCACTAGCTGCCCCGTGCAATGAAAATGGGATCAAGTACCGTTATGGAACTTGTGCTTGCGAGGCACTTTGAACTCAAAATTGATCGGTTCCCATCCGGCCAAGCCGGGGTGAAGGGAAGGGTAGGGTGATATATGGCTCATCTCATCGCAGACCGTCGTACTGCTACCTAATGAGATGGTAGCTGCGTTGGTCAAAGAGTTGGGCGCGAAGAGGAACATCTCCATAAATAAGGACGGGGAATTTTTTTGACAGGGAGAATGAAAACGCGAGTACTCGAGAACTCCATAACTTACAAAATACAGAGTCTCTCCTTCTCCGTACCGAGTACAGCACAACCTACCATCGCAACCACGAGGGGGCACATTTGTACCTGCTGCTCCACGTCCGCCAAAGGGTTCGAAAGGCTAGCCTGCGCTCAGAAAGAACATTGACCTCTTCTGCAATGGGCACTCCGCAGCGTGGCCCCTTTGGAATTCTACCAATCGCTCGTGTTGGCTCTCCCACGCTGTCCGCGAGTAAGCTGCTGTCGACGCCGACATGGTAAATCCTACACAGTATATATATACGTATAAGTGCTCCGTAGATAGTTCCATTTTTTGGTCTTTCGCATGGTATATTCGATCTTGCGCCTTCCGCCTTGGTGCATTGATTTCAAGGTCCTGAGTGCGATCTGCTCTGTGTCGTTGGGTCGATCTGCAGAAGAATGCCATTCGGAGAATCGAGATGTGCAGCTGCAATCCCAGCGGGTCAATTGAAGCCCTTGTGGATATGGAAAAGTATCGACCGTGGATCTGTAGCAAAAATCCCAGCACAACCAACAATCCTTCCAACCAGGAGATTTCCAGACCGCGCAGCTGCATCAGACCTGCGGCAGAAGAACTGGAGCCGCAGCCAGAATAATGGGTACGGGAGACGAAAAAGGGGCTCACACGGAGCTCATGATAGTCACAGCTCTTTTTCCTGGCCCATTTTGTCGATGATGGGAGAATCGGAGAGATGCAACTTGCAGCAGAATTGCACCGAGCCCGCCCTTTCCTATCTTGTGTTGAGATGCAATTGGGTGAAGAGCCACTCTTTCGAACTCGGCGCAAGGCAGAGGGGAGCAAATCACGACGCGAATCCAACAGACGGAGCTGCAATGCCGGATGGAGATCTTCTAACGTTGATGAACCTTGATGCCAGAGCAGAGCAGTCTGCTCTCTCCCCTCATCGCATCCACAGCCTGGAGGGCGTGGAGAGTCTAGACTTGTTTGGACTCCATCTTTGGGCGTGTAGCTTGCGTAGCTACCATACCCGCCCAGTCGTCGTGGAGTCAGAAGAGCGTTTCGCTTTCTCGAGTGGAGGCACCAACAATTGTGCCTTATCAATGGTGTTGATGATGTTATCAATCAAATAGACGTTGGCGAGTTGGAACGACGTTGAAGCCGACGAGTCATTTCCGCCACACACACAACCTGTCGCCCGGCTTACCTTCTTGAAAACTCGTACAAGGTTCGCTTAGAGAAACTGACGCAGGGCAGGGCAGGGCAGGCGAGGGCTTGGGGCGTGGGGGTCTACATAGGACCCAACTCAATGGTCCCCATCCCAAAGAGAACCACACCACACACAGTTGTCTGATACTTCACGGAGTTGTTTGCCGTACTGACCTTTGATTTTCCAGACATTTACGGTGTGTATTGTGGTTCGCTCTGTTTCCAGCTTTCCGAAGCTTGGTACCAAAGAGGCTCAATTTCCCCTCTTGGTACTTGATTAACTCTGACTCTCCCGGTATTCTTTAACTTTATTTGTTACATGAAAAAATAGAGAAAAAAAGCTACTCGTATAATCGTTTCATTAAGGAGTAAAAGTATAATCTCTGGCGTCGTTGAAAATCCTACGTCGTCCAAGACTAGGCAAATCTAATATCTCCACCGCCAAATGCTTGATAACTGGTCTATGCTTCCGACGGTGTGTCCATGCCAAGATGGTTTAGATATCATTGCATCGATCGACTCCCTCTACTGTAAGATTTGTGCATATGCTCTTGTGGGGAGTAGAAGCATGCCCAGGCTAGAGCTCTTGTCCTCTATAAAGAGGAATTTGAAAACTAGCAAGTACCTTTAGGTTCTTGGGTCAACTTGATCCTCATCATTCTTTTCTTTAGTTCATGTTGAGATAATATGTAAACCCTTTTGGACTGAAATATCACAGTATATGAGGTAGAAAGAAAGCCTACTTCGTATATTCGTCAAATGTAACTTACCAAAAAGCAAGATCCCACCTCAGCGCCTCATCAATATCAATCTTCTTGTTTTATGGAACCTTGCTTGCTTACCCCTCAGAGCAATTCGGAAATAAAAACCTGCACGGATTTGCCGGAAGTGGAGGTGTGCGATCCACGTGTCCGTATGGATCCTTTTCTATTTTGGAAAACTGTGCGCACGAACAACACTCATCACATCTACCCGCTTTCCAAGTCGGAACTTTGTAGACTCCAGAGATTTCGAATATCGCTGGGGGTCTAAGCCTTGGACGAAATGATTTGAGAAAAAGGCGGTGGTCTTGTGGAATGTCGGACGAGTGCTGTACCTCTCCTTACTCTGGGTTATTCGGTAAATATGATAGCGAGTAAGCTGTCAAATGAAACTCGAAATGTAGATAAAAGAATTTGGTAAGCTGTCAAATGTTAGAAAGGAGGGAGAAAAAACTCGAAGTTCAAAGTCTCGACACACGAGCTCTGGTAGCAGAATACGAAATAGCCGTGTCATGATATGAGGCGAAATATTTATGAGCTGTTTGTGGATTATGGGTCTATATAGACCAACTATACATGTATAAGCACACCGTCATCAAGATTGCATCTACGAAGTAGCTCTTGATGGCACTGGAAAGAAGGAAGGGTCAGGGCGGTCGCCCTAAATTGGTATATGAGAAACTCCCAATTTGTGAAAGAAACACACCGTGTGATGAATTGAACAGACCAGAAGCGAAGACTGCATTTTTATCCCAATATACTATTGATGGGGTTCTGTGCCTCCCGTAAAAGCCGCAAGACATCAGACACGAGATACAAACTTCCAGCAATGACGATAGGACCGCCACCGGCGACGGCAGCTGCCCAGTTGAGTGCATCTAGAATGTTTGTGCCTCCATGGTGATTTTGGTAAGCATCAAGTCCGGATTTCGAAACGGCAGTTAGAATATCGTGGCATGGCATAGCCTGAACCCATGGCATTCCATCTACAGCTCCAAACCGGACTGCTGCAACACAATCCCCTGGCTTTAAAAGAGGCTTGAGAATGCCTTCCAATTCTTTTCCTTGGGATGCTGCTAGTACCCAAGTGACCTTGTTTCCTCTTCGAAGTCTACTGTCGACATAGGAACCCAAGACCTCGGCGGACTGTATATTATGGGCACCATCAAGGACGACGGGCTCCCGTCTGCCAGTGATGCTTCGTATATCAACGGTTTGAAGACGTCCAGGCCAGTTGATGTTTTTAATTGCAGGCTGTAGGCGATGAAGTGGTGATTCCAACTTTGTATACGCCAATTGGAATGCCGCATATGCGCATGCAAGGTTTTCCCATTGATGAGACTCAAAATCTTCCTCGGTCAGCTCGTCAAGAAATGCGGATTCCGTTGAACTCAAGACTACGTCTGTTCCGATCTTTTCTGCATGTTCTTCGACGACTTTTCGAACGGATATGGGGTTGCTCCTATCCAGCACACAAGGAACCCCAGGCCGCATTATGCCAGCCTTCTCACGGGCAATCTCCTCAATCGTGTTCCCTAAGAATGATTGGTGATCTAAACCAATTTTGGAAATGACCGTCACAGCCTTGTTTTGCAGGATGTTTGTAGCATCAAGCCGTCCACCCAGCCCGACCTCTATCACGCCCATCTCAATCCTTTCCTTTGCAAACACTTCGAATGCAGTCGCTGTTAAGATCTCAAATTCCGAGGCTGCAATGACCTCCTCCCGATTTCTTTTCAGCACCGCTTCTTCCGCTTGACGAAAAGCAGATTCCTGAACGGGATGCTGGTCAATGGCTATACAGTCCCATCGATCTATAAGATGTGGGGAAGTAAAGCGACCAGCACGGACACCACTTGCCTGGAGCATCGCCGAGAGGTAGGCACATATTGAGCCCTTACCATTGGTCCCGGCGACGTGTATAGCTTTCCAAGGCTGGGGTGTTTGCAAGACAAGGCGGCTGATGCGTGATAATCCCAACTCAATCATATTGCTTTTGGACTAGATTCAGTTGTATCTTGCTCCCATGCGGTGGAGACCACTGTGTAGTCCAATCCAGTGCTTTGATGCTAGTGAGATAGAGGCATTCATATGGTTTGTGAAGATGCCATGCAGGATTTGCATACACTGAAGACTAAAGGTAGTGTAATTAGTTGGTGTACGCGCTGGCGCGAAGCTGTGAGGGGATATCCAGGTATAGCAAGATGGAGCGGTGAGCTAGAAGAGCAGACACTACCAAGCACTGGCACTGGTATTTGTACCGGTCATTGGTAACCTCACCAACGGTATACTTTGACGTGATGTTGACGTTGGCGTTGGACGGTTGGCGTTGGTGAGCAAGTCTTGCGATGGGTGGGTTTAAGTTCTCAGCCTCTTCCTCCGTGGGCCTCCCTGTTAGCTCCGGTATGCTGCAGAATCTCGCTCAAAGAGGCTTAGCGCCGGGGTCTAGCGCATCAAGTTGGAACCACCAAATCGCCCACTTCATTCTCTCCGCGCATCAAGCACAGATATCCAACCAACTGAGCATCCATCGCGATAAATTACCACCTTTTCCATATTCATCCAAATCATCCTTTTCGTTGTCGCGAACCTGCAATTTTCATTCTTCCACGTTCTAATTCCCCCTTCCGATTCGCGCTACCGCAGAAATGGGTTTGCCGTGAGTTTTCAGCCTCCTCTGTCCTCGCGCATGCGAAACTAACAGGTCCAGATTATTCGTTGGCCCCACCGAGCCCGAGGTGGCATCCAAAGCGACAGAAAAAACTGCCGCTGTTCCTCGATCTTCTATTCGCCGCCATCGGACAGTGCGTGGTGTAAATGCGCGTACGCAAGCGCTGGAACGGCGGCGACGTCTCCTGGCAATGGCGAACGATCAGCCAAACTCGAATGAATTTGATCGAAGTCCTACCCCTCCATTGGTCACGACCGCGTCAATACGAGATATGCCAATTCAAGCACAACGTATAGCCGAGCGGGAAGATGAACTTGAACGCGATTATTTGCGCTCTCGCATTAATTTGGGACGAATTGGCCGAGCCAGTCCTGAACCAGAAGATGACGGACCTTCAATGATGCCTCCCGTTCCAGAATCCAGAGATTACTATTCCTTCCGAACCGGCGAACTCAATCGCCTTCGTCAGAGGTCAGAACTTCAACGACTGGCCCGAAATCCCGTCCCAACCCCTCCATATACGGACTCAGACCTCGAATTTCTGGCTCGCGGTAGTTCCGACCCTCCCCGCCGGATATCGCCTTATGGCCATGCATTGGCAGTCGCACATAGACAGGCGACAGAGGCAGAGGAAGAACGGTCCCGTCGGATGGAAGATTCTGAGCCACGTGGAGGAGTCTCCGGGCGGTCATCGCTTTTCTCGAACGAGGTAAGTTTTCTATCGTGTTGGAAATCTTGGAGAATACCAAGTTTGGCAGTTACCTAATGCTAGTATTTGTGACGGAAAGGCTTATTCTCATTGTGTCTAAACTGACGTTCTTTTACAGCGCTCGGCTAGACCCATCCCCTCAGACCAAATGGGACCTCCTGTAAGGAGCAGGAGGGCCCTTAGCAGTATTGAAAGACGACGAGCCGCTCGACATGCTTATTCCGACGGCCTGGGTGATCGAGACCGTAGCTTAAGCCCAGAAAATGGCGCAGTTTGGGATACGCTTCTAACAAGCATAACTCCGGACCCTCAACCTCCCAGCGCTGGCTCATCGTTTACTTCTGCTGCTGCCGCTGCTTCCTCAAGTACAGCTTCTGGAGTAGCTTCAATCAGTACTTCAATGACTAGCACAGGCCCATCTGATGACCCCACACCTGTACGGGATTGCGATGTCTCTGATTCTGGATCGAATACTGAGGAGGAGGAGGAGGAGGAGGAGGAGGAGGACTATGGCCTTAGTAGCTTCGTGCGCGCCAATGGAGCCCAGACCTGGAGTAGTTACGCAGAAGCCGTCGGAGCTCCATCAGACCGAACTTCCCGCAATGACGCATCGCCCTACGCTGAAGACCTAGGGGGAATGCGTAGCATAATATCGCGTCTGGCAGAGCGGGATGATATTCCGGATGATTGGTGGGCTTCAGCGGGACTGAGCCGTAACCTCCGCCGCGAGCCCATGAGTTGAGCCCCAAATTCAAAAGACTGGACCACGACAATTGCACTTTTCAATGAACATTAATGCGGGATGGGAGATATTGGGGGTCCAAGGGCACAATTGTGATACCACTGTAGAATAGGATGTTTGCTACGCAAAAAGTTTGCACGTTTGACTTGGGATAAGAGGCGTTGGGCGCGGATGCGCGGATATGGAGTTTTTGACCTTGGCTCTGAGTTCAGAGGCTGCAGCTTTTATTTGGAGGGGGCGGGGGTTTTCTATACAATTGTGAATATTGATGGGTTTAGGAGTTCGACTGCAATCTTTTTGGAGGAGGCGTGCGGATCTGCTTGCCACGAATTGTTTTTGCTAGCTTTCTGCATTCATAGCGAATAGTTAGCTTTTCAGAGTACATGGTCTTTTTCCTCATCAAAATAGAACCAGTTTATAGTGCGGGCTTTGTGTATTGCAGGCTTCGTGAATTGTAGGCTTTGTGTATTGTAGACACCGGAGCAAAAAGCCTTTCAATCTTGCTACCCCTCTCTGTGCCACTCACAAGTACCTACCTAACTTTGTAACTTAGCACGGAGTACCTGCTCCGAAGATCTTGCTTGATCTGCAGGCCCAGGGACTGAGGCTGAGGGTTGGAAAAAGACCTAACCAGGTTTAGTAGTGATGCTTGTCAGAATAGGTGACATTTGGTCGTCTGACTTGCGTTGGATGGAAGATCAACAACAGGGCATAGGGAAAAAGTGAAACACTTGTAGACACACTGGGGGCCACTTTGCGGCCTCTCGACTCCCGCTGCACTGCTGCCAATAGTGCGCTGTGGCTAGAATTTCTTTGGACTCTTGCTGGTCTGGCTTGGTTTTGGTGTATGGTACTGCTACTGGGTACCGCACTATGGGCCTCAGCCTTACTTCGTACCTTGACCAGCACATGCAGGTCGCCAATCCCAGTAGAACGACCTGTTTGCTATCATTGCTAATTTCCGCCGCCTACGCCCACAAGTAGACGACTCGTCAAACATACAGTACAACTTTGGAGGGAACCAAAAAAAAAATCATTGCTACAGAGAATGTGCCGTTGTTCTACCCAACTCGAATCTGGCATCCCGCGGCGAACGTCACTGCTCCGAATCAGATATACGGTACACCCTCCATTGGCGGTCAATCGTCGACAGCTGTGAATCTTGAGCCGGTCACTACCTGGGAGCATTGCCTATAAGACCTAGGTCACAACCAACCTGGCCGCAGTAATCCTTAGCCCCGCGAACCGCGACGTGAAACGACCAACGACCACCTCGATGGTTGGGATGTGAGCTTTTCCCGGGCTCCAAAGCAGAGCAACATCATCAGCAACCGCCAACTTCTGCCCCACCGCTACGAGTTTCCGAAGCCTCGAGACGTGAAGGGGCCATGGTCTCTCACGCTCCTTCGGAACGCCAACACAATGGCAGATCGGGCAGTCGTAGCAACAGTGGTAGTGGCAATGGGCAGAATGGAAACGGGAATGGGAATGGTCATGGCAAGGCCGAGCGAACACCAGGTACACCAAGGAGAGATGCGGGACCAGTCAAGGAAAAAGCCGTCCAAGATCCTGGCCTCAAGGACTATGTGAGTTCTTCCTCGACAAATTTGCTAGTCATATAGGCTTACTGTTGCATTCAGCGTCTAGGAGAATGTCTGGGAAAGGGTGCCTTTGGCTCCGTCTACAAGGCTTTCAATTGGGGCACGGGGGAAGCTGTGGCGGTAAAGCAGATTAAGCTAGGAGATCTCCCAAGAAGTGAACTGCGGATGATCGAGGTACACAAACTCCTTTGTTTTGCTACAGAAGGGGCTGACGTGACGGCATAGGCAGAAATAGACCTACTGAAGAACCTCAATGTAAGTTGAAACTCAAAAAGAAATGATATGGTGCTTTACTGACAGCTGGTAGCATGACAATATCGTTAAATACCTGGGCTTCGTCAAGTCTTCGGACTGTCTCAATATCATTCTTGAGTAAGACTCTCTAGAGGAGACTGCCATGAATTGCCCACTAATTCTTCCCAGGTATTGTGAAAACGGGTCTCTACATTCAATATGTAAAAGTTACGGTAAATTCCCAGAAAACCTTGTCGGGGTTTATATGGGTCAAATCTTACTCGGACTTCAATATCTTCACGATCAAGGTGTTATACATCGTGACATCAAGGGGGCAAACATTCTTACAACTAAGGACGGCAAAGTCAAACTCGCAGATTTTGGAGTATCGACAAGCACGTTAGCCGGCGCGGACAAGGAAGCACAGGTTGTAGGAACACCTTACTGGATGGCTCCTGAGATCATACAACTCTCTGGTGCTACTCCTGCTTCTGATATTTGGAGTCTGGGATGCACTGTTATTGAGTTGCTGGAAGGAAAACCTCCCTACCATAAACTGGCTCCCATGCCAGCACTATTTGCCATTGTCAATGACGACCATCCACCGTTGCCAGAAGGCGTCTCACCTGTGAGTCTACCCATTTTCTCTCGTCCAGTTGATTGCAATACTCTGACTCCAGCTAGGCTGCTCGGGACTTCCTCATGCAGTGTTTCCAGAAGGACCCTAACCTCAGAGTTTCGGCCCGCAAATTGCTTAAACATGCATGGATTATGGGATCTCGACGGACAGATGCTCCAGTAGCAAAGCCGCCTGCAAATTTCAACGAGGCCGTAGAAGAGGTTAAGCAATGGAACGAAGCTTTGAGATCACCTCCTGGACCTGGCTCGTTTCGCACTTCGGCCAGGTCATCTATGGCTAGCCCACTGCCGCCTCGTAGGGACCCGCCTCTTCGAAGTGTTCAGGTTAACGACCAACACCATCCTGGTCTAATAACTCCAGTTAAAGGCCCGCTTTCTTTAGCAAAGCCGAAGCAATCAGCAGAAGCATTTCGATCACCTGAGACAACTTGTATGTCATAATTTCAACAATTTCTCTTACCCTCACTAACCACTGGCGGAGTAGCTGACGATAACTGGGATGATGACTTTGCTTCTTCGATATCACCAAGCGCCCTCCATCTCCCTCAATTCAAACCACATGATAACTTTGGCGGAAAGCTTTCTTCTGATCGCTTGAAAGCATATGCTTCTTATGATAATTCAAATGACGAGAATGACAACTGGGACAGCAATTTTGAGGGCGATCTGGTAACTATTAGAGGACCACATAAACCGATGGATATTGATACTCACGAGCTTGAAACCATTCGTCCATACCGGATTAAGCCTACAGTAATCACGCAAGATTCTAAGCCTGCCGTTGCTCCAAAAAGTATATCAAGAAAAGCCTCGGCTAGCATGCCACCACCGAGACCAAAATCCCCAATCAAGGCCCACGCCGAAAATAAGTTTGCTCTTCCTCACAAGCCGCCCGCTCTTCTCTATAAAGAACCCCCCCCATTGGATGATTACTCGGATATATTTGTAGAAACCGATAGCGTATTTAACCGACGATTGAGTATCATTAAGGTTGGTTTGGATTCCAAGTCGGTTGATATCGTAGCTAATCTTCTAATCAAGGGCGATGCTCTGTCACCGAAACTCTTTCATCCTTCAGATCTCACGAGTTTGCCACGTTCTGCTCACTCGCCTGTGAGCAACGTTCATTCAAGCACCAGGGGGGCTTTGGCTCCTCGAGAGGATCCTACCATGCGTCGTACTAAATCATCAGTAGAAATACAACGATACGCCGAAGACGAAGACGATGAAGATTTCTCTGACATATTCGGTCAAGGAGATCCTATCGTCGAAAAGGATGAAAGCGACCGGGGATCTGAAGATGGTGTTGGAACCCTCATGCTACACTCGAAACTTTCAAACAAGTCTTGGCTTGGTGACGAAGATGACGAGGATGACCCCTTCGCTTCATTAGAACAAGGATTTGATGAAATGGACCTGCAAGCTAACATAGCCCGTGATAAGCATGCAAGACTCTGTACTCTGATTGAGGGGCTTGTCAGCTCCCTGAAAGTGACTGAGGATCCAGATATCCTCTCGGAACTCTCAGAGCAACTTCTTGATGTTCTCTACGAGTCGGTGGATGCGAAAAACATTATAATAAGTGCCCATGGCATGCTTCCTATACTGGAAATCTTGGAACCTTGTACACTCAAAAGCCGCCAAAGCATGATTCTACGTCTGCTAAAAGTGGTGAACAGTATCATTTTAGATGATGTTGAAATTCAAGAAAATCTTTGTTTCGTAGGTGGGATACCCATTATCACCAAATTTGCTGCTAGGCAATACTCGACCGAGATCAGGCTTGAAGCAGCTGCATTTGTGCGACAGATGTATCAAACGTCAACTTTGACCCTTCAGATGTTCGTGAGTGCGGGTGGATTGAATGTCCTCGTCGAATTTTTGGATGAAGATTATGATGAATCGAAAGACTTGGTGTTAATTGGGGTCAATGGCGTTTGGAGTGTATTTGAGCTTCAGGTATTTGTTATATATTTTTGTAGTATCTTTCATTGTTTGCTCACCATTTTTAGGGTCCTACTCCCAAGAACGATTTCTGTCGTATATTCTCTAGAAGCAAAATTCTTTCGCCCCTTGCCTTGGTTCTTGACCGGGTTCTTGATGAAGATGATGGGCTCTCCGAACTTATCGAGGGACGCATCGTCAATATTTTCTACCTATTTTCGCAGGCAGAAAATTACGTCAAAGAAGTTGTTGCCGACCGTGTTGTCCTCAAACGTAGGCATCCCCCCCCCCTTCCTTTGTAACTTTCTAATCCCGTCTAGGTGTCCTCAAAGATCTCTGTCGAATGACACCTGCACATCAGATCACCATGTTGAAGTTTATCAAAAACCTATCAATGTTGTCAACCACACTAGACAGCCTTCATGCTGCAAACGCAATTGAATTACTTATCGACTTATTGAGCGCTAGCATGAAGAAGGCCACCGTCCACTTCCGCGAAATATCTAATCAAGTGTTGAATACTATGTATAATCTCTGTCGCTTGAGCAAGGCGAGGCAGGAAGACGCCGCAATGAATGGTATCATTCCATTACTACAAAAGATTATGAAGACAAAACGGCCACCGAAGGAGTTTGCTCTTCCGATACTATGCGATATGGCGCACTCTGGTAAGCTTGGTAGAAAGTATCTGTGGCAAAACAAGGGGCTACAGTTCTATGTCTCTCTCCTGGAAGATCAGTATTGGCAGGTGACTGCTCTAGATGCTATATTTATATGGTGGGTTATTCCAGTAATTTTTGAAGACGTCTGCTAACAGTATTCACTAGGCTTCAAGAGGAGACTGCAAGAATTGAGAAATCATTACTCGAAGGCAATTTTATAGAAGCTATTGTCCAATGCTTCAACGCACCAAAAGCAAGCTCCTTTGATTACAATCTTCTTGAGCCTTTGCAAAAGCTCTTGAGATTAAGTTCACCAGTCGCGGTCTCACTCGCACGTTTCGATCTCTTCTCCGGGATTCTCCAAAAGTTGAACCACAAGAAGGCAGTGGTTAGATTGAACCTTCTGCGAATCGTTCGCAGCATATGTGATCCAAGTGACACTAGGTCGCAGAGCATGCGGCGCCACCAACTATTTGAGGCTATCGAACATCTAGCTGACAGCGACTCGGCTGTACTCGTGAGGAATATGGCAAGCGATCTTGTCAGACTTACTCTCGAAAAAGATCAGGAGAGCCATAGTGCGTCTCGGCCTCGATCGGGACCAGGTTCGCGGCGAACAAACTCTTACACTCCTCCATCGTTGCAACAGAGTGTATCAACACCGATGACACCAACTCACGCAAGTCGGGGATCTCAATCATCCTTCGTTGATGGCAGTATCACACCAAGAAGAGTCGCAGCAACTTCTAGTGGCGATGCCATGTTATATCGACCAAGGAGTAGAGAAGGCCTTACTACTCCTCAAATACCGAGAAGGGGAAGCGCTGATATTGTGGGAGGTTCTTCGTCAACGAGCAAAAGTCGATTGCCACGCACGTCAATGCTTCGAACTTCGCGGTCTTCTATCAGTACACCTACGAATAGAGACGAGCCTTCTTCGTCGTCGAGAAGAGATAATGCGGACCGATTAGGAGAGCATTCGCGGGAAAACTCACGGGAGCATCAGCGAGATCCAACACGTCCAGCAACAGCGGGACCTCAATTGAATTCCAAAAGAAAGGGACGACAAACCAGTGGGGACATCAAATGGTCATGAGGAACGGGGGGAAGGGAAGGTGAGCATTACAAAAGGGTTCTCTATCAGAAACAACAATGAATATTTCCAAAGAGGAATGTGAAAAGGGGATTGGATTATAAGGAGTCTTTGTTTGGTCTCGCATATATGGAGACGATTCGATGATCCTTCATGCATTCGGAAATGGAGTTACACGGTACGGGGTTTATTTTGTTTGTTTGAGTTTGGTGCATAGCTTGCGTGGAAATAGGGGTTTTTACCTTTGTGAATATTGATATGGTAGAGGTGAGGCTCGAGCATTACGAACTGTTAATTATGAAATCAAGATGGCGGTAACAAACCTGCCAGGTTGGGTTACAGATATGAATATTTGGATTCTTCATCCTCCCAGATTTCCTGAGCTACGCGATGTGATTTTGCTTGTATGGGTGATAGGTCGCGTGCCTTCTTTTCTCCTCTGACAGGGTTTCTGGAGTGAGGCGCCTATGTTCCCGGATCCAGGTGTGCGCCGGTGTCCATATCAAGGATCATACATATAGCCAGCCGACTACTTAATCAAATTCCTTGGTTTGACGCCAAGGTATTTCTCGTATAGTGTCAAAGTTGAAAGCCTTCAAACCTTGCTATTATCCCTCACTTGTGTCCGTCATATACCTTCCCCTTACAGCATGTTTGCATGTTTGCATGTATCAGGTTGCATGGCCAGTAACGTCAGGAAACAAGCTTCTTACCCTGCTTCTACAGCCTGCTCTCTTGATTTGTTGCTGGGAACCCTGAAGAATACGATTACGAGTAGAGGGATCCGCTTTGGTTTGTGGGGGCGGGGTGCTGTCAAATGGGTTATTGCAGACAGATGTATATTTGCCCATGAGAGTGGGCTTTTGTCGTGGTTTTGTCAGCTGATAACTGGGGTTCTCGCCTTCTGTTTTTGAGGTTGCTTGCCTAGGTCTTGCTTGTCTAAAAGGAGATTCGAAATGTCATACTTTGGCTATTGGAGGAGGAAAGTACCTTTTTGGGTCTACCGATCCGAGATCAAGCAAGGGAGATCTGTTGATCTCGTTCGTATTCTTGAGGTGCCTTAGCGGGGACACCTAGGACACCGGCTAAGGTGGTTTGTATATATATCCTCCTCTTTTCTCGTTCTCTGTGGCAATTGCGGTTTCGATTTCGAACACATTACTCGTTATCTTTCCAATCTACGAAGACGATACAATCAAGATGCATTTCTTCAAAGTTCTACCAGTGGTCTTCGCTGTCGTCACGGGGGTCTCCTCATTGGCTCTTGAACATGAAGTTCCTGAGGGAACCGCTATGGTTTTCAAGAGGGAGTCGGAGGTTTTGGAGGTGCTGCAAGGACGACAATGCATGGCGGTAGGTCCAAGCTCCCAAGCGAGACTTGGAGGTGTCTGTATGAGGATGTGGAAAGAATGAAAGCTCATGATTTTGATAGTGTAGCGAATGTGCTTCTTGTGTGGAGAGGTGCCCTTGGGTGAAGTGCTCCACGAATTGCTCGGTCTGCGGATGTGGGGTACGTTAATCTTTTTCTTGCGTTGGCGATGGTGTGGATTCCGGAAAGAGTACTACTGACTGTGTTTTTTTCTTGTAGGCTGTTTGTCTTTGTGCTGCTGGTGGATCTTGTCCTTGAAATTGGTCGTAATGATGGCGTCACTTTGAACAGAGTGAGGCAGATCAGGAGAAACAAACTTTCAAATGTTTTTTTGCTTGCTGTAAATTATGTGTCTACAACGATTAATGTTACCACCTGCAATCATACATTGTCAAGTTCTACGAGGCATTATATTATAGAGAGTCTAAAATGGTTTGTTACAGGAAGATGAGATTAACCCTCCGCTAGATACCCATCTTGTTCAAATTTCATGTGTTGGGTCTTAGTCCAGTCCTCGAATCAGCACTACCTGGCAGTTCGGACGGTCTAAGGGCCTGAACCGAGTCCATTTCGTGGTAATGATACCGACCATATGCGTCCATCTCGGCGGGACGTGAGTTGCCATGCACTTCCTGTCCCTCCCAGGTTTCCTCCTTCAGCTCGCTCGTTTCAGCGGTGGTGTAGTCTTCTTGGCTGGGTTGTCTAGTTCGTTTCCGGAGATAGAAAAATAGGCCGATGAGGAATGCAAGGATTGCGATTCCAGCGATGATTGAATTGTTATTGGAGGGCCCTTGTCCGGAGTTGCTGTTGGTGGGGTATTGTTCGGGGTGGAAGTAGTCATAGCGGTATCGCTGGAGTTGGTGATGGATGAATCGTTCAAGGACCTAACCTTGAATATATCTAATAAGGCAGGGCTACTCCAATTAGTAGGATGAATCGAAGCATCCGAGTATACAGTGGTCACCACCGAATGTGGTGTATAGTCCTGGGCTTTCGAATCATAGTTCTCGGACCATTTTAGAGTTGTCATATCAAAAATCCCGAGTCCATTTGACCAGGGCTCTGGAGACTTGTCCCCATTTTCCAGCCGTCGACCTCCGATACTGATCATCTGTCATTTTCCGGCCTTCTTGCAAGTGTGAAAGGCTCGCGATACTGCTTCGGTGTTTGCTTTGATCCAGGTGAAAGCTGGAATTGTCAAGATGTGTACGCTCTTGAGATCTTCCTTATCATTGAATTGAGGAATATCTCCTCCTCCCCCAAATTGTCCGCCGTAAATGAAACTGCAAACTGCGATTAGAACAGAGCAGTCTTAGAAAATGAAGTGACGTACATTTCATAGGAAGAATTGTCAGCTGTACCAGCGCCGACCGAACAGAACTGTGCACGAGTAGCAGGTGGGTTTGAGGCCTCCTGTTCGTAGAACTTCTTACTTTGAATATCGTAGATCAAGATTGTATCCAGGCTTTGCAAACTACTCTTCTTTTCTGAGGTTGACGCAGACCACTGACCACCAAAAATCAAAACGACACATTCATGACCATAATGTTCGATAAACTGTCCCTCGCCAAAGAGATAATACTTGTTTGGTATTGATTGATTGGCCCAGGTTTGTTCCGAAAAGCTATAGGACACAATCTCTTGAAGTGATTGAGCATTATCGGACCCATGTTCCGGGTCAATCAGAAAACCTCCACCGAGGCTATAGTGCGCTTTCGAGGAAGTAACTATTAATCCCCAAACGACATTCGAAGACAGATTCGCGGCGTTTTACTTCGGACTCCAAGGTTGTTCCTGCCATTAGACGACGCCACTCTTCCGCGGTTTGAACCCCCATAGACTCACAGGCGTAGAGTTTCTGTACCAATTTCCAGCAAATTCATAGCCCCAGCCACCCATAGAGTAGACCATCTCTGCTTAGTGGATCGTACCAAATATCCGGTCTCCTTGCGAGTGGATTCGAGTCGGTTTTGTTGCTAACAACGGGAGAAACTGATTTCGTTGACCAAGATGTGGAGAGATCAAAGGCTATCGTTTGTTGATCTGTTTACGATTAGCGAAAACCCCAAGTAAAAGTTCCATTTCTTGCATGCACTTACTCCACACAGGTCCATTTTCAAGTGTCATCACCTCACCACCATCTACAAAAAGCCAATCCCCTGAGATAACGGCTAGAAACTTAACAGGTATGGAATTATCAGGGAAAGATCTCTTACATGGTTGATGGAACCATCCTGTGAGGTTCGCTGGAAGAAAAGTATTTTCTGCTGCTTCTGCGAGTCTCGCTTGTAAACACAGAAGCAAATGAATCTTGAAGGCTGCACCAACAAACATCGTAAAAAAAGAGTGACTGAGGCTACTGACACAACTCCCTACACAGTATCCAAAGGGAAGGAAAAAAGCTCAGAAAATCGTCAGATGCAGGCACAAAAACTTAAGTACCATCCACATCCCAAGTAACCCCACAGGGCTATGGTCCAAATTCCTCCCGTACTATGAAGTACTGGAAGAACTTGATTGGTGCATCTTTCAAATGGAGACTCGAATTTGACGAAGCAGTCACGCAGATCAGTCAAATATAGCCCCATTTGTGGGTTCGTAAATCTTACAAGGGCTTCATTGGGCTACTGCTCCAGTAATGGCAGGAAAATGGTATGGAATCTGATGATTTGGAAACCATACCCTGTAGAAATCAGCCATGGGAAACGCGGTCCAGCTTTTGCATGATCCTTTGCGTGGTATTAGGGGATTTAAATGGTAACCTAGCCAGGGTGTGCAGGAATTCGGTAATCTCGATAAACAGTGGCAGCATTTCTATTGAATTATACTCCCCCTTCCAAAAAAGAAAGACAGGGCTCGCAGAATTGTTCCATTTACCTCAAAAGACTTGATGGCTACTTGAATAGTATTTTTATCGTTCTGAGAGCGTTGGGTCAGCTGTGAAAATAAGGTTCTTGGAGAAAAGACGAAACCCAGCTTACTGAATCCGCAGAGATGACGGCCCATATCTACTGTGCCTCTCCCCGACCCTTATTTTCCCCGCATAGGCGAGCTAATGAGGATCATCTCATTTATTCAAGAACGCCGACTTCAGATCATTAGAATTTCGCTCTTGTGATTAGGCGAAGCTTACTTATGAAGTAAATCTTAGATATAAGGTCTACAGTTATACACCGTTAGTTTCCGCTAAGCGAGAGTAGGGGTCCGCGCTAGACTTTGGAATTGGGTATTTATATTTGCGCAATCCAGCCGGAAACTTACGGTGCAAAACTGTAGTATACTATTCTCGCCAAACAATTGGTCGAGCTAAGCGATCTTTCGAACGGAGACACGAAATAGAAAACCTCAGAACTTTGAACCTCCTCCCCGAGGCTCTGAGATGCTTTGCGTACTGACCGTCTGCGATTCCCATTCCCTGGAATCTCCTGGAATACACTGTGATACATGATGGACAGCGGCGCGGATCCTGAAGTTGGGATTTGGTCGTGAAAAAACGCATGAGGATCTGGGTAAGCCAACCTCAAGATTCTGCGCCCATCGACGACTGGCTGTCTTCGAAGTTTTATCGGATTTGTATTTGCTTAAAGTTTACGTGGTATTTATTTGAAAGCGGCATTAAATTCCTTGTTTTGAATGTGGCATTACATACTCGGCTAAACACGTGTCTATATACACTCTTTCGAAACGTCATACATAGATTCATACTAGCGTTCTATATTAGCTATGAGTATTTTTCGTCTATATAAATTGTACCTCCCTTTGTCATAAGACCCTTATCATCTTCTCACCGTACTCATTTACTGTGCTCTGACACCACTTATATCGGTGAACCTGTAGTACTTCAACAGGTTCTACAATCTTCTCAAGCACTCTGCAATTTTCTCACACTACGACCTTCTCAAGAACAATAAATCTCTCTTCAACAAAATGCAGCTCCAAAAGACACTCCTCACCATTGCCTTTTCAGCCACTAATGTACTCGCCGACCTATTTTGGAAAACTGGAAAGTGCTACGCAGCGAATGGAGAATCTGATCCTCCAAATACAGAAGGGGCATGCATCAAACTGAAAGCCACCAACGATTATGCTGATTGTAATTGGGACGACGGTAGCGACTGCAAAAGCCAAGGGGGCAAGATTATCCCCGAACACTGGTCTTCAACCTGCAAATTCTTGGATGCCGCTTCTGGAAGCGGCAGTTAGCTTTTAAGAGATACAGGAAAGTGGTTTTGGTGCGGTATCCTGTATTGGAGGGGAGTAGCGGATACGAAGTTGGATGGTCAAGCTGGGAGCTCCACGGTACTTTGTCGTCTAAAAGGTCGGTCTCAGGATACTTGATGCCTAGTCTACCGGCGTGTTGCAAGGAATCTCACAGGCTTTTTGGTACGTAAATGATAAATCAATCATATCCCTTTCAATAGCTCAAGGGCCTAGATGTCGCAATACCTGGAAAGGGAAAGTTATCGATTAGCCACCACACGAGATGACTAGTCAGGCAGAACCAGAAAGATATTTTACATGGCAATTCGATATTCATTTGGAAGGTCGAAAATTCAGTATTCTGTTCCATTCCATACTAGAACGAGAGTTGCTTCATTGCTCAAACGTGCTGATGTCTACCTCCTCAACTCTCCAACAATACCACATAAACACACTCCTATCAGATGGTGAGTTGAGAACAACATATTTATCAGGTGGTCACTTACCTGTATGGCTTGAACTTTTCAGCCGTCTCCTCCATCTCCTTCTCACTCATATACTTCCACTTCCCACCCTTCCCCTTCAACTTCGACACATCCCTACCCGCGAGCGCCGCCATCCCTCTCTGAACACCCAAATCACCAGTAGAAAAAACATCCATCCTCTTCAAACCAAAGCACGCAAACATCTCGACACTCCACTTCCCCAGTCCTCTTACCTTGATGAGCTCTCCAAAAACCTCTTCATAGGACGCCGAGAAGAGCATTTCAGTGGTGATTTCTCCGCCGCTGAATTTTTGGGCGAGTCCTTGGACGTATTCTGCTTTTCGTTGGGACAAGCCCGCGGTGCGAAGAACTTCGATTGTTTTGGATGCTACTTGGGATGGGGTTGGGAAGGTGTGGGTTTGTGATTCGTCGCCTTCGTTGAAGAGAGTTACGAATTTGGCTTTGATTGATTTTGCTGCTGCGCCTGAGACCTGTGTGCTTTGTCAATCGCGAGGAAAGAATTAAGAACATAAGTTGACCAGAAATGCTCCACGGGATTTCATAAATTCGATAGGCCATGAAAGATACAGTATTGTACGAGACAAAACCAAGAAATGAGGAATTCACTATTCTGGTTCTCCAAGGGCCTTCTTATACAAATGGAAAATTTGGAGGGGACTCCGTGCACCTCGAAGTGAAGATTATTGTAGTTGAGACAACACTTTAAAGATGCTTACCTGTTGTGATATTATCCCGCTCACCAGACTTCTGAATGGGTCAATCTCCTCAGCCAATCCCTCAACGGAGAAGCAATGGCATGGGTGTTTCTCAATGATTGGCTTCAATTTTGGTTCAACCTTGATGAGATGGGCTAGGGCATCGTCAAGTATATTTTTTGTCGTAGTCGTGCCATTGGTCTTTTTTGACGGCGAAACTTGATCTAGAGGCTTGGTCGAAATGAGTCGATGAGTTTCAGGTGATATCAGAGGGGCATTTGTTCCATTGGGGACGGCGAGCCTGTCTGTTAACGGGGGAGGTGTACTATCATCAATATCTCCAGAACTGTAGGGCATCGCTAACAGTTTGGCCAAGGCCGGAGTTGGAGTGACTGGTGGAGGCGCTTTTTTGGAGGCTCGCTTTTTCTTTGGCGTTGCCGGGCCATCGTCTTTGCTGTTTGGGCTTAACTTGACTGCTTCTAGCTCTGAATTCTTTCTTTTCTTGCTCTGATTTACCACAGTTGAAGTAGCTGGTTCCGATTTCTCGGTTGCGGCGGCAGTACTCAGACGGGATGATCTTCTGGATGACATGTTGATGAGGCTATGGGGACCGAAGCTCTTCGCAAGCAGTGGTGGTGACAAAATAAACGGCTGCCTCCTGAAGCCGAATGATATTATGGAAGGCGTCGCGAGGACGGGGTGCTCCGTATGTGGAGGATTGACAAGCGGGAAAGAAGGAAAAGTTGGCAGTAGTGTTGCCAAGCGAGATTCTACGAGTGTTGTGGTTGACCGAATAGAAGAAATATGCGTGTCAACTGATGTACATTTTGATACTTGGTGCTCCGCTCTGTCCAGTTCAAGTATCAAATGTAGCTTCTATCCGATCAGGAGTGACTCAAGGAGGTGGCGACTGCACGTGAATATCTTGCCGTACTGGTAACTGCTCTGCTTACTCCGTACCCTACACGACGCTTAGGGGGTTTCATCGCCTTGGCATAATCTTGCAGGATCAGATGAACCCTTATTGCAAGCGCCGTTTGAGAACTCCAGACAAAGTTTATATAAGTAAATAAATAAATAAAAACAAATGGCCCGTACGCAATCGTAGTGCAATACCGCTATTGTGAATTGCACCGGCCCAGTGACTCGGTGGATGGGCTGCCGAGCCGCAAAGCTGTCCTCGCCTCGACCAGAGCCGACCAAGGTCACCAAGGTCTCCAGTCTCGCTTGCCTCCTGGCACGCCCAAATTAGAAGCAAAGCCGCCCCGTGAAAGTTTACTTCCCCTGCCGCTCCACGCCGTCCATCAACATTGCGCATCTCAACTTCTTCAACTTCACCTGTTCACGTCAAAAAGTCATCCCCCCCCATCCACCCCGACGCTCGTATCCCCGCGCCATAGAGTCTGCGACCCAGCTCCCTCCATCCTCAGCTCTCTCGACACCCTCCAATTCGGCGGCGCATCTTGCTGGAGACGTCGAATTGATAGCATCCCTTACGCTGGAGTAGCTGGCCCAACGGGGGTTCGCCCGGCATGTTACTCCCTAAAGGCGGCGTTACGTGGAAGTCTGCAAAGGCACAACTGCCACCAACAAGAGCGATATGGGTATTTATTACGCGGACGCGATTTCTGCTGTGTGTGGCTCTCACCGGCGTCATATTGTTATTATGGAGAGGGGTGAGCACATCGGCGTCGGAGATGCAAAGGTCAGCGCCCTCTGTGCTGCAGAAGTCGAGCCTGCTCGCAGCGGTCACAATTGTTTTGCCGGCCTCATAATTGACACACAAGTGCAGGTTTTACTGTTGGGGGCCTTCGAAACCACCGATGCAGATGACACCGAACGAGGCAGCGGATTGGAATGCGCATTTACAGACACCTGTTATATTTAACCACCACGAACCGCTGGTGATAAACGAATCAACTATCTCACTGGTAGACCTTAATAAGATACAATCGACCCCACGAGCAGTGCAAAACGAGGAGAAAGTCTTGATTCTGACTCCATTACGAGATGCAGCTGAGTTTTTGCCCGGTTACTTTGATCTCCTCTCCGAATTGACATACCCACATCATCTTATCGACCTTGGATTCCTCGTTGGGGATTCTTCTGACGAAACACTTGCCATTCTGTCCGCGGAGGTTGCACGAATTCAAAAATCCTCCGATACTCTGATTAAACCTTTCAACAGTGTCTTGATCGTTCAGAAGGACTTCGGTGCCGTAAGCTCCCAGAATGTCGAAGACCGCCATGGTTATGCCGCTCAAGCTCCCAGAAGGAAGATCATGGCCAGAGCTAGAAATTATCTTCTCACCGCGGCCCTCAAGCCGGAGCATTCCTGGGTGTACTGGAGAGATAGTGATATCAAGGACAGCCCCAAAAAGATCATCGAAGATTTTGTTGCCCATGATAGAGACATCATTGTTCCTAGTATACATTCTCTGTCCAATATCTCTTATGACATCTTTACTGACTGCCACAGACATCTGGTTCCATCGTTACAAGGATGGAAAAGACATCGAAGGGAGATGTAAGCGATCCACCAAGTCATGCGCTGATTAAACACTAACATCAATAGTTGATTATAATTCTTGGATCGAGTCAGACAAGGCACTCCGATTGGCTTCCACGCTCGATAAGGATACCATCATTGTTGAAGGTAAGAATTATATGCTGTGGTGCGGTCACAAAAATTAATTTGTAATTTAGGTTACAAGGAATTTGACACCGGGCGTACATATATGGCAAAAATGGGAGACTGGCGAAATAACAAGGATGATGAGCTTATGCTAGATGGTATAGGGGGTGTAAATATTATTGTCAAGGCGGATGTACATCGATCAGGTAATTTGCAGTCACTCTTTCTGGTCTTGCGCCAAACGACTAATGTTTTCCCAGGTATTAACTTTCCCTGCTATGCTTTTGAGAATCAAGCAGAAACCGAGGGCTTTGCCAAGATGGCGAAGAGAGCCGGTTATGAGGTCGTAGGGTTACCCAATTACGTCGTTTGGCACGTAGACACGGAGGAGAAGCCAGGCAACGCCTAGGAACAGATATTGTACGCAGCGAAGAGTTCAGATTCCCTCGACCATTTTTCAAGCATATACGGAGTTTAGTGAGAAAGCGAGCCTTGGTTGGACTCGTGGGAGCAATATCGATGAAAGACACGACGAACCCTGTTCATTCGATTCCATGTACTGAACGTTTTTTCTCCTTTTTCTGGGATGCTAATTTCGCTATTGTTTGCCGGGCAGGAGTTTGATGGGAACTTTCGAGATTCACGAAGTCTTGTGTAATTCTCGGGGTGCAAAGAGCTGAGTGCATATTCAAATGCAATCACTGTAGTAGAATGGATTTTTTGTTTTTGAAATTGGGGTACCCGGATCAAGTCTGGTTTCAAGACATGAATCAGCGGGGACTTGAAGTCTGTATGGATAGGTACAGACGAGGAAATTAATATGGTATCTTGTTGAACGTTTGGGTGTCGGAGGGACGTGGAAGAAGGAAGAAAAGATATCACTCTACGTTTGGTTCAAACTTCCTCGGGTTGAAATGTGACAATCCCGAAAAGCATCACGGCACATTTCCTGTATATAATTTTGGGTTTTCAGCCAAAAATGCTCGCTCGTATGGAAAATTACCAGGCTAGACCATTCATCTTGCGCCTCCAGCAAGAATCAACACAGATATCACGAATTATACCACCGCATGTTTCTTGACCTTGATGAACCGATTCTGGTGATGTTTTTTTGAAAGTGGATGACCAACGTTGTAGTTGTACAATACAGACAGCCCCAGTCCATACCCATTTTCGATTCCCTCGAAAAAAAATTCCTCTAGTAGCGTGCCGCCCCGTTATACACATACGTCTATGAATCCCATCGCTCTCGGTTTACTTTCGCTTCGTAATCGACAAGGACTCCAAATCCAAACGTTCCTTTGCCTCGGCCTCGATTTCTTTTATGATTGGTGAGAGATATGCGATATCCTATGTGGCACCCATTAATTCTGTGCCTGTTATCGCATGCTGGAATGGTTTGATATGTACCTCTGATGGCTTCGTCTGCTGGTCTTTGGGGAGCAATTGGTGGGCGAGCGAACACTGGTAATTATCAGAATCTACGTTCCACCACATGTTGTATATGAGGTTTCGTTGGGGGGTATACCTGGAAAGCTCTTCGCAAGCGGAACACACGGTCGTAAGCCTCTTGGGGCGGAAGACGTTTAAGCGCCAGCAGCACAGTCTCGGATTCTTCGGGGATCAAATCATCGGCTCTGCATACACACCGTTCATCAGCTTCATTCCTTCACATGTATTCGTTGCGCCCAATCCATCCTGGCCAGGTCCATAAGAGCAGACGGAGCAGAGGGCGACGAGGGATTCACCTTAAACCCAGCTTTCTGTATCCGGCGGCGTTGCAGTACCAATTGGCGAGTGGGGTCACCATTTTCTGGAGCCATGGTCGGGCTCGGATTGCGCTTGCGAGGGATGGTTGGGACATGTTGTGGGTGTGTGGGTGGGTGTGAGGGTGAGCTCTTGACTATTGAGGTGCTGCGATTTGGTGGTGAGGTTTGAGGTGATGAGAGGGATTTTGGGTTAGTCAGCTGGGTGGTGGTTGGCCAATTGGAGGTGTGGTATTTGAGGGCAAAAGCGGCGGGCGGTGGGTGGTTTGCTGGACTCGACTCTCGTCATTTTAACATTGTTAGTACTTGAATTTGATTCACTTTTGATTTGTCCTTTTCTTTGGGTTTTTGTTTCTTTCTGTGTGTGTGTGTGTAGAAAACGGATTTTGATGAGTGCGAGATCACTTTTATTGTATCACCAGGTATGGTGAGCAAGTCCCGACCGTACGCTACGCTTCCATGGCTCGCAATATATCGCAAATCATATATTATTGGTGAGAGTTATAATGATAATCCTCCGTAACAACTCTAATGTTCATTCGGCTTTTCTAGGTACCTTCTAAGGCGCTATGTCGAGGCTATCCTTATCTCTAGATGCTTGTAGCGAGGGTTTTTTGTGTTTGTTTAGTGTTTTTGGTGAGATGGCGTGTGCTATATTTAAGGTTTGATTTCTTCCCCTGAGACTCGCTTGAAACATGTCACTTCATCAGACCAAAAAGGAAGAAGTTGAGGCGCAAATTGCGGTTTTTATAACGCTACTTTAACTAAATTGAATCAACGAATGAAATTACAGTCAATATAATACCCATCCGCCGTATTGTTGAAATACTCAATTGCTTCCTGTTGTCAATGAAAGTGGTCCGCTCTGATTTAGTTGATAAACAACAGTAGCAATCGTCTTCAGTCTCAAGCTCACTTAGCACTTAGCACTTGCACTCGCTGTTGAGTTTCCATTGTCCCATGGAATCTCCGATGTATGTTCCACCAGGGGACAATCCATCTTTCCAGCCACCCTTGGTCCATTGCACCTTAAGCTGGTGAGTTCCTACGCCTTCGTCAGAAATCTCTCCTCACATATGACAATAGTTTGAGTTAGTACATACCTGGAGGAATCTTGAAATATCCATGTGACCATCCTCTCTTGATGCAATCTTCAGGTTGCGCGCCACAGTTAGCAAACCAATCTGGGGTCGAAGCACTCGTATCGCCAAGTTCTTTTCCATCGAGCCAAACGGTGAAAATCTCCCACTTGAGAAGGTCATCGGTGATAGTGAGAATTTGATCGTGATCCTCAGGATTGGTGATAGTTGTAGTGTATGGTGTTACAGGATGCCCTGGTTGATGGGGGAGCGTGAACCTGGTCCAGGGATTTACTGAGTTGCCTAGGCATGGATCCGAATCGCTCGTGGAGCAGGCGAATTTGGAAGTTGGTGGTGGTGGAGTTGAGGAGACTGGAGCGCGAGGTTTAGTAGATGAACCCGTCACGGTTACGGTTTCCTTCACTGTTTCCTTGACTGTCTCCTTGATAGTTGTTGGAGGCTGGGATGTGGCGGCGGGTGAGGAGATGCTGGTCACCTCTGGGGTTGGTCTTACATCTGGGGTGGGTTGTGGAAGTGGGGTTGGTTGAGTTTCGAAGATGGGTTTTGGTGTTGGTTGGACTACTTGGCCGGGGCAGAATGTAACAGTCTCTGGTGGGTTGAGGACGGTAACAGTTTTTGGAGGGGGGTTCAGAGGAATTGCCGCAGGGTCGATGGATTTCCAAGCACACTTTAAATTCCCTGCAAGATTGACTATTGTTAGACTATCTTATACACCAAACTTCAACATCAATTTTGAAGAATGCAGTGACCAACAACTGAACAAACCAACCTGTAGTGTCTGGAACGAGTGCATAATCGCCTGGGGGCAATACCGGCTCGTCTGGATGCACAATTGGGCGAGGTGGAAGTCTTACACCTTCTTTTGAACAGCCGATACTGTAAGGTTCGCACTCCTGTACTGGATCAGGAAGCTTTGATCCAGAACCACATCCTGGGCTTCCAAGTTTACAAGGAATCGGATCAACCTAGTAGCATTGTTAGTATATTCTCTCCTGGGAAAAGGACAATTGGGTTTCAAATAGTACCTGTAAGCATCCAGCTGGCTGGTTTGGTTCGTTTGGGTGACACGGCGTAGGGTTGATAATTTTGCAAGGAATTCCACGAGGACAAATTGGATCGCCAGTTCCGTCAACAGGCTTCGAAGGGATCTCTTTGTCAAGACAACCGGGGTATCGAGCATCACACTGATAGTCGGGATGCCAGGGGACAACCACCCCACCTGGTTGGCAACCTGGAGTCGTTGCGCTACAGCCCGCCTGTGGATTGTAGGGATAACCAGGAATTGGCTTGCTAGTATCTACTGGAGGCCACTGGGGTGGTTTGGTAACTTCAACTCCCTATAGGAGGTGCCAGTATCAGCATCATTGTGTATTACTCAACGATTGGTATTAAACATTGGTGCGAATAAATAAGTTTGAGAAGAAATGGTATCTCATATTTCAAAGATTAACACAAAAAGGGGAAAATCTCTAGGAGCACCTACTTGGGAACAGCCAACTGTACCAGCTGAGCAAGGTTTGACCCATGGAGGAGGAGTTTTGTCTCCGGGGTTAACGGGAACATACACGCCCCCCGGTGGACACTTGGTATCCAGTAAATGACAAGAGACTTCAGGATTAAGAATGAAGCCACCTGGAGGACACTTCCCATACCTCCGGTCGCAAGCAAGTACTGGATTTCTGATGTTTACGAAGGGAAGACAGTGTGGCTGGCTTCCATCACAAATTTCCTTTGGGTCCACAATGACACAGCGTCCAGATGGGCAATTGGGATCACGAGGATCAGCAGTACGATTGGGGTCTACAATTACACCTGAATAATGAGAAGTGTTAGCAATATATCAACCCGTCGAGCAATGTTCAATTTCCAATCAGGGGAGTCTTGTACCTATAACCAGAGGTGGCTGTTTGGGTGGCCCTCCTGTGCTTCCGGGGGAATCAAGGGAGGGAGGTGGATTGATTACGGGAAGATGTCCCAAGCATTTTGGAAGGTCTGAGCAAAGCTGAGCAAAAGGAAGCTGGGCAGCCGTCGCTTGAGCCGCAAGAGCAGCCAAGATGGCAAGGTGCGACTTCGACATGGCAAGCGCGGAAAGTCAGTGCGGAAGGAGCTAGTCAATAGAAGGTACTGCAAAAGAGATAGTCAGGAGAAGTATTTACTGCAGGGAACGGTAACCTTTATACTAATTCTTCATAAGTTGAACGTTTCTCGAACATATCTTCAACTCGAGCGAGGACGAGGTGAAGATCGGGAAAACTTGCATGCGTAGCTGGATACTCCACCACTCTTGTGAGGAACCAGAAGAAAACATGAATGCATGCAGGTGTCTGATCATGTGGCGATATTGCTACAGTTCCACTTGCTTGCAGTCTATTAAAAAGCTCATGTGAAGCCGGGAAGGAAAGTAAACACAACGTACGAACCCCGTATAACCAGGATTTTATATCTGCGCCGGTGTTTGGTTTCAATTCAAATTGTTGCAACAGCAATTGCTCAATCGAACTTCCAGAGCCGACTTGAATCCGATGCTAGCAATACTCTTTTACGGTCTGAAGAATGGACTATGGCAAGTAATAGAGAAATAAGAGAGAAAGTTTGACATACATCCTTGAGTAGTCTAGTACCTCGACACGAACGTCAGTGGGTATACCCCAGGAGCACTTTGCGGTATGCTCAGGGCAACCTTCCCGCTACGTCTGTATACACATATATGCACAATGTATGTAGTAACCATATGTCTTATAGTATAAACTTTGTGTCGCTTATATCCATGATTCCACATATTTTTGAACAGCATACCCCTGTTTGAGAAAATTAGATTCCAAGGGGAAGATAAGTGGAAGAGGTTGCAAAAGAAAACCTTTGCGAGAATCAGCTGGAAAACATGAGAAAACGGGTAGCAAATACAAGGATTGAAGATCTCTAAGTAACAGGCATAATAACTCGAGAGTCGAGAAATATGCGCATCAAAGGCTGGGTATTCATTAGTTCATATGCTAGTTTTATAATACCTCAAAGTTTTAATAATTCTCACATCTTCAACTTACATCAAGTTTGTCTCTTCTACTCTGGAAAAGAAAAAGGCATTTTCACCATTTGTGCAGATGAGAGACGTAAGAGACTCAGAAGGTAACTCAGACGTCATGTTTTACCTACTCCAAAAGCACCTGTGCAATTGTTCCACTTTTTGTGGTCTAGGATTGGATTCTTTCTCCGATCCTCCCACTTCGGACTCCAAAGAATTTGGCGTCGCTCATCATACCGTATGTAACAATTCGAGTCATAGTTTATATCAGTGCTAGACTCAAACCAGATTACATAGAAAGTCTTCAGCTTGCTGAATACTCGGTGGCTGCCAAATGTTACGTGAGGTTTTCGTGAGCATTGCCTCCGGTGAAGTATAGAAGGAAATTACTGTTGTATACATTACCACCAGAAATTGAGGCACGACCAAGGACACGATAATGATATTGATACTCAGCATTGAGTAGAAAGCTGGTGGCCAATTGTAAACTGCTCAGGACTATGCACCTGGAAAAAACCGGAGTGCATTTTTCGCGTAGTGGAAAAGATCAGTCATTGTAGCCGCCATTAACAGGAATCATGCTTGCAAGGGTGACCAATAGCGCTTGCAAAGTAGAAAAGTTGGGATGGGAAGATCGCGGAGCTACAATGCGCCTCTCATCACATCGCACTTGTGCTACGTCTTGAGCAGCACAGTATCACTGGAGGTTTGAGTGACGCCCACCAATGAACACCACGCGAACAAGGGTCTGGTCCCCCCACGTACAATGTTTTCGTACGATCTCCCATTTTCTTCGGTTCTCGAGACCACACTGCAAAGTGCTTCTCCCCAAGATCCCCAAGTTTTGGGGTTCGTGTTGAGTGTCGGCGGAGAACGGCATATATACTGTGGCTAGTATATTGTGAGCCAACCCCCTCTGGAAAAACCCAAGCTCTCGGATTGATTTAGATGTGAAGAGGAATATTTGAGCGATCCATCCAAGCTTGAGTGAGGAAGTCGAGCTTGAGTTGGATGACTCCACCCCAGCTTGCCAAATACCAAATAACCTTGAAAGTTCGCTTGATTAGACGTAGAGCAAACTCCAAAACGGTATGTGCCCTCATTCATCATTCTCCTAACTCCTCAGACCCGCACTCCTTAAGCGAAGCGACACCACACTTGTGCACATAGCGATAGCGCCAGATACCCTCCAAAACATTTGAAATTCTGCAAACAGCCAAAAAGATTGGCAAAAACTCACACCCTCTATAGGAACGCGACTCAGGAGCGGAATCAGACGTACGAAGTTTTTCTCTTGAGATATATGGCCTCGAAATTCTGCCCATGATGTCCTTCGACGTAATGCAGCACTGGAGAACTCACTAATGGTAACTGTTGTAAGCATTTTGATAGCTTTTTCAGAACTTTAAAAATTGCAGCTCGCTTATGGCATTGAAGCCTTAAGTTGTCCCCACCTCAATGCTTGTCTTTCTGAAGGTTATGAATACACTAAGTTCTCGAAAGCTCATGTATACGAAACCGCTCATGGGATGGTAAATCGTCCTCTCAAGTCGGAGACATTTCCGAGCCGCATGAGCATCTTTGGATTTGACGCAAGTCGGAGCTCGATTGAATTCTTCCTCGCTTATCGATATTGAGCCTTACAACTGATATTCGATTTTCTTCAAGTAGAATAGTATATTTTGGAATAAACCGCTGAAACATTTCACAAAGAGCCTCAAAAGAGCCTCAATCTGACAGACTTGGCGCCAAGTCCATAAATGCGTGAAGGGGCGAGTTCTGATTGGTCATAAATTCCAAAAGAAATAAACGGGTCTGACCAATGGCTAATTAACGGTAAAAACGTGACTTTTCTGGAAAATACCACAGTGGAGGGGGCAGTAGGTATCACTGCTAAGTACTTATATTTGCTGAATGACTCCCGATCTCCTTCTTAAAGGCTATCAAATTTTCTCATATAATGAAGATTGAGATGGTTTTCACCAAGGTTCCTATGAAACTTGAAACATTCGTCTGTTCTAAAGTCTCACACCACTTGACGTCTGTTAGAAGGCACTAGCACCCCCACTCCACTGCACCTCGATCATCCCTTCCCTATCGTCCCTCCCATGAGCTTGCTTTCATTCATAATCCCCCATCAGAACTGATCCCCTGCCCAAGCCTGCCTGCATTGGATTCCCTCAGTTCACTCAACTTCTGCTGGTGCATCTGCCTCACTTCTGACCAGCCAGGTTCAGTCATTCTTTGTTCAACATCCATCGTAGGTTTGCTCCAATCAATCGCAATCGCAACTGCATACGTAGCCGAGCCCCGATATCAGACTATCATTCAAAGCCTCAGGAAAGCTTGTACCCACTTTACAAGTACACTTGATACAGTAGGAAAACTCCCTGCACGCACCACAACATCCCGTCATCTGTGGGACGGTCCGCAAAACGAATTATTGCCAACGACACCAAACTAGCCCGCCCGACCAACTGACATTCACCTCCGCCTCTACCTAGTTCCCTCCCCCTCAATTCACACATCCATCAGCGATCCACCCTTGGCCCTCTTCCATCCCACAACCACAATCGGAATTCTTGCCCTCGGGGATTCGTCAATGGCCTGTGACAACCGTTAGTAGCTGTGTCTGGCGTGCTGCGTGGGAGTCTTCCCCGCTCACCGGGACACGGGATTGAAAATACCACGGCGATAACAGGACTTGCTTGCTTCTACTTGCAGAAGGGAGCTGCTTCTCCTCTGCCACTCCGCGACGAAGCTAGGCATATACTCGCGCCATATCATACTTTACAATGTCGCATGAACGCAGCACGCCATCATCCCCCGGATCCGAGGACTTTGCTGCGGTCCATTCGACTTCGGGCACCAATTATGCCAACCTGCCCCCAGGCATTGCCGATGGCCATGGGCATCTTACGCTGATAGAGAAATTTGCGATGGGTAGAGGCGAATCGAGCTTTCATGCATTGGCGGGTGCGGCAGGAGGTTTTACATCGGGGGTGGTTACTTGTCCATTGGATGTCATTAAAACCAAATTACAGGCACAAGGAGGCTTTAGAGCGGCCCAAGGAGCGGCGGCTTCTTTGGCGACTCGGGCGAGATACAGTGGCATGGTGGGTACGGCCAGAGTCATTTGGAGAGAAGAAGGCTTGAAGGGGCTGTATAGAGGATTGGGACCGATCATTTTGGGCTATCTTCCAACGTGGGCGGTGTGGTTTACGGTCTACGGAAAATCGAAAGATTTCTTCTCGCATTACAACTGTATGAGTTGGAAGTCCCTGGGAGGTTCGAGGAACTTGGCTGACGTTGGCAATAGCAAATGTGAACGTGGTAAATTTGAGCTCAGCAATCGTCGCCGGAGGTTCTTCGACCATGGTCACCAATCCGATATGGGTGATCAAGACCCGACTGATGTCGCAAGTTAGCAGAAAATCCATGTCAACTGATGCACGACCACCATGGCATTACAAATCCACATTCGATGCGGCTAAGAAGATGTACAGAACAGAAGGAGTTCTCTCCTTCTATTCCGGTCTTACACCAGCACTTTTGGGGTTAACGCATGTTGCTGTACAATTTCCTGCATATGAGTATCTCAAAAGAAGATTTACCGGCCAAGGATTGGGCGAGTCTGTGGAGGGTGATGAAGAACACCATGTTCTTGGAATTTTATCCGCCAGTGTACTCAGCAAGATCATGGCAAGTTCAGCAACATATCCCCACGAAGTCATACGAACTAGACTGCAGACACAACAACGATCCATGCCAGCAACTTCCACCGAATATGCAGCGTTCCGCGGTGGTCTTGAAGGGGGCGAATATAAACCTTCGGGCAAGGCAACAACCACAGCGACATTACCAAAATATAAAGGAGTCGTCATGACTTTCAAGACCATTTTGAAAGAGGAAGGATGGAGGGCTTTTTATGCTGGAATGGGGACCAACATGATGCGTGCGGTGCCAGCAGCTACTACTACCATGGTTACATATGAGTATGTAATGCAACATCTCAACCACGCCAAGGCGGAAGGTCTCCATAAATCTGAAGGAGACCTGTAAGGCATGGGGAAAGTACATATGGGGTTTGTATAGATCTCGAGGAAGCTACTCACGTCTTGTGTTTTGGGGTTTTGTCAAAAGGATGGAGGCACACGTGCATTCTGCCGTTTTTCATTTTCCGATTCAGCATGTTATACCGGACCACAACTGGGTGGAACGAGTCGATTGGTAACTAAATGCATTTGGGTTGGGTGCTGGGTTGTTAAGGGGAATAGTACAGCGTGAATATCTCGGATACCTTTGAACCCTCTTGATTTGGGGTTTTTGTAGCATAGATGGGAGAGGCGCCATCGTTGGCATTGGTTGTCTTTCGGATTTCACAATTCTTAATGTTCTAAATGGAGTCGAGTGCATGTGTGATGCCTATTTCATGGCTGTAATAGTACAGTACACTGGTACCGTATGTATACCCAGATTTTCCAGAGCCAAAGTTACGCCTAGACGCCATGCTTGATTCCCCCATACCAAGGACCCTCATTTCACATCTCTTTTTGTAAAGAACATTGTCCGTATTCACATAAAATCTTCCGCTTCTCTTCAATCCTTCCCCTTCCCAGCGACCTTTTCCCTAATAATCTTCTCTGCTTCCGTCTCTCCTCCGCCTCTTCCACTCGTGTTCTCCTTTGCGATTCCCGCCAGTTGCGTGACAGTATTTTGTTCCACGGGCGGTTCCAGTTTTCCGTGGCGACGGAGACTTTCGTTGTGCCAGTTTATTTGGCCGCCGTCGGCTTCGCGGTGGGCTTGGGCGTTGCGTTTTGCAGCTTTGATACTGGTTCGTGTGTACGTAAAGAGAAGAATGGCCATTGTGAAGGCTGCTATCGGGGCTGTGACTTTCTGGGATCGTGGTTAGTAGGGTTGTTGTTTGTAGAGGGAGGGGTAGATTATAGAAGACTTACTCGACCTGTGAGGTTGAATTTTTGGGGTCGTTTAGACATCTTGGGTGAGTGTGCAATTAAGTAATCAAGGTAGTTTTTACATGGTAATATTTCTGTTGGAGGGTGTTGGAAAGAGCTGAGTATTGAATTCTTTCATCTGCTGAAGTTGTGAGCTCATTGATGGATGAAGGTACCAATTGACAGGGATCCTCGGCCCCCAGCATTATGACATCGGCAATTTTTTGTATATTATGGAGTAGGTTGCCTCAACACATTCGTTCACCGCGACCCGGTCATGACTCTGACACCCGAAACCCCCTTAATTCGACTGAAGATGATAATATAGAGCACATACTGGCTCGGAGTTCATGTGCCAGCGACTGGGGGAGAAATAGGACATTATGAAGACGTTCAACCTGGCATCCGCTTTCGCGCGCTCAAGTCTTGCGCCGTGGACTTGTAGACGCTGTACGTTGCAGGCAAAGGGGAGAAAACCGACTCGAGGGTATTCTACGGGGAGGAACTACACATATGAGGGTGCTCCGAGGTCAAGGGGAAAGGGGGAGGCGTTGATGGCTGCTGCTACGACGACTGGAGTTCTGGGCGCAACGGCGTTTACATATCAGGATAATATGAAGCATTGGTATGAGGCAATGGAGAGGACAGGACGAGTGGCTAGTGCGCTTGCTTTGTGTATTAATGAGTGAGTTTGCCCGATGTTGGTCTTCTCCTTTAAGAGCGATAGGACTAATTGTGGCGAGTAGTTATCGAGTTACGCTGAATCAAAACGAGCAAACAGACGACGAAGATGCTAGAAATACTAAGTTGAAGGCTTGCCATCAGCGATGTGCGGATAGGACTTTGAGGGTTTTGGAGAAGAATGGGAGCATATTCATAAAGCTTGGTCAACATCTGGTAGGTGGGATGAAGTAAGAGAGTTTCGGTAAATGCTAATTGGTTTGCAGAGTGCAATGAATTACCTGCTTCCTCTCGAGTGGACGACTACCTTTATACCTCTACAAGACAAATGCCCCGTGTCTTCGCTCGAATCAATAGAAGCCATGTTTATGAAAGATACTGGAGAACAGATCTCAGATTACTTCTCGGAGTTTGCGCCAGAACCGATAGGAGCAGCATCTTTGGCGCAAGTACATCTTGCAACAATCAAGGAAACTGGTCAGAAGGTTGCTGTGAAGGTTCAACACCCCAATCTAGCTGAATGGGCTGATTTGGATCTCGCTCTTACAAGATTTACATTTACCACTCTGAAAAAATGGTTTCCCGAATATGATCTGGAATGGTTGTCTTCCGAGATGGAATACTCATTACCGCAAGAGCTGGATTTCAATCTAGAGGCAAAAAACGCTATGAGAGCAAAGGAATACTTTTCACACATAACGGAATTGCCTCTTGTTATTCCAAACGTTCTATGGGCCAAGAAAAGAATTCTTGTAATGGAAAATGTATCTGGACACCGACCCGATGACCTCGAATTCCTGGACGCTAATGGTATTGATCGAGATGAAGTTTCCGCGGCTCTAGCCCGTATATTCAACGAGATGATTTTCGGTAATGGGGCACCACTCCATTGTGATCCTCATGGAGGCAATCTCGCGATCCGCAAGAACACCAATCGAAGAGGCTCAAACTTCGATGTCATACTCTACGACCATGGTCTGTACAGAGATATTCCACAAGACCTCCGCCGCTCCTACGCAAAATTATGGCTCGCAGTCATAGACGCAAATGAACCTCGAATGCGAAAATATGCCAAAGAAGTAGCCGGTATCAACGACGAGCAATTCCCTCTCTTCGCATCCGCAATTACCGGCCGCGATTTCACGATCGTCAAATCCTCCATCGCAGCAGAACGCTCCGAAGCCGAGAAGAAAACCATCAACGACGCTTTAGGAGAAGGCATGCTTCAACAACTCGTTCAAATGCTCGGTCAAGTTCCTAGGGTCATCCTCCTCATTCTGAAGACCAACGATCTTACCCGAAGCTTGGATGAGAATCTACAGACGAGACAAGGACCTGTGAGGACTTTTTTGATCCTCGCTAGGTATTGTTCACGCACTGTATTCGAGGAGCAGGTTGAGGAGTTGAGGGCTAGTGGGAGTCTGCTCCTGCCTAGGAACATGCTTGGTCTACTGGGGGCTTGGCTAGGATTTTTCAGGGTAGAGGTTAAGCTGGAGCTCTTTGAGCTTTGGTTGAGTGTTAAGCGGTTGGTGGGGGTGGTGTGAGTGTATATAGGATAGTGGGATTGAGGTACATGTTTTTCTCTTGATATTGGATATTGCGTGGGTTGCGTTAGCGGGGTTGGTCTCTTTTTCTTCCCTTTGAGACGTGGAAATTCCGTAGATGGGTACATATGGGATGCTAATAGAGTAATTTTCGGTCTTGCTTTTTTCTCTCGTTTCTGACGGGTGAGATTGGAGCGCTGAAGTGGCCGTTTGAAGGCCTGGAAGGAGGTAAGATCGCTGATACAATATTAATAGCCCTCTGGCTGTCTCATGTATGATGAATATCTAAACATTCATGAATGCAGAGTAAGCCAGGCTAGATCACCGGCCTATGATTCACATTCCCAAGGTCAGGTGCGCAATATTAATTCTACCCATCTAGATTAATTACTGGGTTATGTAGGAGAACAGAAATAGATCAAGGATTTCTATGTTGAAATTGGTGCAATGTTATTCACTTGAAAGCCATACTTGTCCCTGTTTTCCTCGCGTGGAGAATCTCTTGGGTTATTCCCTGATTCCTCAAGTACAGGTTATGTAGAATCTGAGCTCTACCAAGTACTTCTTAGCTATAGTGATTCGGTTTGTAAGAGTGCGAGAGGAATGCATTTGTCTCCTTCTTTCAGATCCGAAGCTTTTTTTACTGCGAATCTTTATCAGTGTAACTTCAAATATAAAACTCGGATTAACTCCAGAACTCGAGGGTAGAGCAGTTATGCCTTCCATCTAATGAGAATACGAGAACGATTCCTTGCCCATCTCCCAGTGCTATATCGCAGGTACCTATAGCTATGAATGAAAATTTGAGACTTGATCCATAAATCAAAACAAGAGAATGAGAGAAAGAGAAGTGCAAAGAGAGAGAGTTGTGAAGACTCATCGATCCCATGTTTCAAATTTCGCTTAGCGACATCTCAAGACACCAACCCCTTGTCCACATGGATATCCATTACCCTTTTGGTGTATAGAGTTGCTTGCGGCACGTTAAGATACTGCTTCTCTTATCGGTTGGAAGCGCTGTTTTTATGAAGGAACTTCGAGTACTCATGGGGTTATATCTACGCCTCTTATCGAGAGATACTTTACTGAAGATAGACCATGGTATGAGTGGAAGTAACGATATACGGACAGTGAATGGGGAAACTCATACATGTTATTCAGAGCGAAGGGCTTCGAGGAGTATAAATCCCCACTTCCCCACAGAAACCCCACAGTCTTTGACGTGAAGTAACTTACACCAAGACGGATAATACCAAAGATATACTATTTCTCTCACTCACTCACACGTCATTTCATACAAAAAAACACAAAACAAAACAAACTCTTCACACTTTCATCTCTCAACTACGCGAAATTTATAAATCAACTTTCTAATACGAATCTTTACGAATTCGAAATGGACTGCCCAATCTGCGGACACTTCGCCTGCATCTGCAATATCAATCGCAAGACCTGCGGGAATAAGAAATGCGAGTGTCAATGTAATACTAAAGATAATCTTACTCCTATGTCGTCCGGTTCTGGGAGTGAGAAAGGGGGCAAGGAACAGGGGGGCCGTGAAGTTGAAGATAAGGGGAGAGAGGAGAAGTAAGGAAATCAATCAAATGTAGGAGATGAACAGATGAGGGGAGGAGGGATTTGCATGGTGGGTATTGTGAATGGTTACTGTTTTGTTCGCTTGGGAGTATGAGGTGTTTCTGAATAAGAAACTGCATGGATGGGTCTCTGATATGGTGTGGATATATAGAGGAGTTCCCTCTGGGTTTTTCTAGTATTTGTTATGAGGTACTTCTGGGTGGAGATGAGTATACTTTGTTTTGCGATGGGCGTTGTATGGTTTAGTGGGCTTAATTGTGTGTCTGTGGTATACTAGAGAATAGAGAAATACTATGCTTTCCTTCCTCTTGATCCACTTCTATGAATTATAATAACTGTGCTTACTAATAGCTATCTATTTTTATCATATCAATGAAGGTAGTCTAATTTATTAGAATGATTTGTAAGTATATGATGATTCTTTTGAGAATAGAAGTCCTACTCTAATCTTTTTACATGGTTAGACTGCATTACTATACTTATTCTATACTGTATCAACGTAACCGAGTTATCTAAATGAAAAGCGTAAACAGGCTTGTTTAGGGATAAAGAAGGAAAGGAGACATTTCTGTTTTTATCACACTCTAAACACCTGTCAAAGTTATGCCAGAAGTCCCTATTCACGGTGTGGCTGCATCTCTTCATCTGTCAATGAGGACTTCACTGACTATGCTTTAGGACTGCAGGACATCATCACTTAGAGAGTGAATAGCAGAACGCATAAACATTATTCATAGCAAGAGGCTTGGACAAGTATAAATATCCTTCCCCCCACATATCAAATCCCAAGTACATTCCAACCCTTCAACACATCTCCACCAAAACCTTCAACAAGACGACACTACAACCACTTCCTCGTTATACTCCCAACCCAAAATAACACTTCCCACTCAAAACACTACCCTCCTCTTCAACCACGGCATCATAAATCAACCTCAAAACACAAAAAAGACTATACCACCCACGTGCACAAAGAAGAAATGGACTGTCCCATCTGCGGAAACAACTCTTGCACCTGCAACCGTGGAAAGAAGCGTTGCAGCAACAAGCATTGCGCATACTACCAGCTATCCAAATCTCGTGGTTATAAACACCCCCCAGCTTCAGATTCTGGCGCTGAGATGAAGGAGATGATGGGTGGTAGTACTGAAGATGCAGGTTATGGCAGCGAGAAGGCTTGAGGCGTGGTAGATAGGGGATCTGGAAGAGATGTAGGGCGGATGAGGAACTTGATCACACATGCTTAGTGTGAGAAATTTAGCGAATCGGGTTTCTGGGTGATTCGCTGATGGATGGGCTCTTGGGGTGCAGTTGGAAGGGTTTCTGCATAAGAAACTTGATTTGATGGTGCTGTGTATGGTTTGCTGAGGAAATGGCAACTCAGAAACGGGTTAGGAATTTATCGCAGGTCGAGTATTCTGGGAGATAGATAGGGAGTTGACTCTCGTACTTTGTTTTTGCAAAGTTCGCTTCGGGTGAAAGTGCTTAACGTATCAAAATTATGTTGTTTGTGAGGATAGAGAATGAAAGTTGTTCCTCCCTCTTGATGTGCGGAAATGTATTGTAGTGCTTCTACTTACTCAGAACTGACAGTACTCTACAAGCTGGGCAAAGCAAACTGAATTAAATAAATTGTGAATTTCTTGATACTTCTGCGAATGCGGGATTAATGCTTGAACCTGCTCGTATGTTTGACTCTCTTACTATGCCTATCTTATATCCCTTCAGGTTGGTAAGCCATCGGGAGTGACTCTGGCCAAAAATATATACAGGCTTGTTTACATGGGGATGAAGCAGCAGCAAGAGAACTATCCATCTCTGTCCATACAGCAAAAGAAATTTATGCTAAAAGTACCCAATCATGCCTCCAAGGTATTGGTATTAATCACGACCCTGAGTCGCAAAAGCCAAGTATCCCAAACTTTCCACAACAAGTGATTCAGCTATACCAGTCTTCCTAGTGAAAACACTATCCTCTTAGTAACAAACAAGCATCTATGACTCAAATTTAACCCCTGTTACTAAACTATCAGAATCATAACCACACCCATCTCCCAACCTCCACAATACAACCCTCGCTTACCGCAGCCCCCAAAACGAGCCCCAAACAACGAATGCCCCCCCATCTAAAAAGAGCAAAACCCAAATCATCCCAATGATTACAAGCTTGTGATCGTCCAGCTGTCAAGCCACAATACCCCGAAAGATCCGCATCCAATCGCCGTCCACAAAACCAGCAATAACATCCACAGAAGCAATACCGATGTCTTGCCTAGTCGTGATCACTCATCTAGTATGTATTTCTATCCATCAACTATCTACTCGTCAGCATAAGAAATTTATACGCCTTCAAAACCAAAAGATGACCCCAGATAGTATGAAGATCGTCAGACATGTAGGTACGTACGCTAAAGGACAATTTTCCCCACGTCTCTACACTACGAAAAAGGCACAGATGAGCACAACGAAATACCATTGTCAATACTCAGGCAGAGATTTATTGCAGCGAGACACAAGACAAGACAGAAAAAGCTAAGAGGTGGGCATTTATGTCATTAAATCTTAAGCTCTGTAGCTATTTAGTAAGGGTTTCTTTCCCCCTTCTTCTGATCTTTTCTGCATCTGATATTCGTACAAATACACACAATAACAATAATGGTGTTACACATATCTAAAACAGATCATCAGGGTTCTTCCCTCGCGCTTCTTCTACATCACCATCCACTTCATCCACTGGTGGTGTGATAGCCGGTCTATTCTGGCCCAAGAAAGCATTACAGAGGATTCCCGCTGCGACACTGACGTTCAAACTATCCACGGAGGATTTTTGAGAACGACCAGGGATGTAAATCCTGATGTCAGATTTCCTTCTAAGTTTCATTCGGAGACCATCGCCTTCTCCACCCAGCATGAGAAGGCAAGGATTCCGGGCAAGAGGGTCATCCAACTCGTCAGTTGATACTGACTTGTTGGTTTGCCGGGCGCCTTTTCCTGCTGGCGCTACGGCGGCATATATTTTCCACCCTGCTTCATGAGATGCTTGGATGAAGGCTTCGGGGTTGCTTATGGAGAATAAAGTAATGTTTTCAGAAGCACCTGCGGAAGCTTTCAGAACAACGGGGGTGAAAGATGCGCTATTGCGAGTTGAAATTGCAACAGCGCTGGCTCCAAGGAATGACGCGGTACGAATGATACCTCCAAGATTTCCAGGGTCTTGAATGCTGTCCAGCAAGAGAACCATTGGCTGTCGTCGGGACCCTGGGAGGTTGATGAAATCAGCTGTGCCGTTGACCGCGGCATCTTCTCGTGATTGGAAGTCTACTGTGACATTGAATCCTCTTCGCCCATCTTCATCAACAGTTGAGCCTAAACTTGTGATGGGTAGTCGTGGAAGTGGTGATGCCTCTAGAATGTAACCATTATGAGGTCGTCCCCCACTCATCTTGTCCATAAGCCCCAATCCATCGCCATTTACTCGAGAAACCTTTACCCCGTTCGTTCTTGCCAGAGCCTCAAGATCAACGTCACGATCTGAGCTGGATTGCTCCCGATTCTCGCCCGTGTAAATGTATAATTTGTAAAGTTGTCTTCTCGGTATCCTTCTTGAAGTCAACGCGGCTTCTACAACCGAAGTTCCATACAAGAACTCTGATGCTGGTGTTGTATACGGTATAGAAACGGGAATTCGAGGGCCACTCTTGACGGTTCGTGGACCAGTTTCAAAGAGAGGGGTCATCGAGAATCTGTTCCCATCTTCAGAGGAATCATTATGGTCACTTCCCCGTCGTGCCACTGGGCTATTTTGCTTGTATGACCTGACTCCTGCATCCATGGAGGGTGCGCCGTCTCCCTCCAGTCCTTCTGTCAAAAAAGACCTTCCTTTCGGACCCCGATGCCTGCTTATATTAGATGTACTTTCACCGTTTCCCAGCGAATCCTCCCCTGACTTGAAGCGGCCCCGACCCTCAGCTATTTCCATCGGCCTTGGCTCCCATTGTCTCTTCTGGTATGTTGAATCACCATTTCTCAGCGAAGCCTCCCCTGGCTTGAAGCGGCCCCGACCCTCAGCTATTTCCATCGGCCTTGGCTCCCATTGTCTCTTCTGGTATGCTGAATCACTATTTCCCAGCGAATTCTCTCCTGACTTGAAACGGCCCCGGCCCTTAACTATTTCCATCGGTCGTCGCTCCCATTTCCTCTTCGGGGATGTTGAATCACCGTTTGAAGAAGAATGTTGGAAACTAGACGCATTTCGGCGCCTCTCTCCATATGATTCCGCAAAAGATTCTCGAGGTTGGGGATCGTGGAAGTGGTGAGGATGCCTGGGGTTGAATTTTGGAGTATCCCTGCTTTCAAAGGAGTTTCTGTCTGCCTGTCGCACAGGTGAACTGAAGCTTCGTTGGTTGTCAAATGGTGTTCGTGGATGGCCTTGCTTTCCTTTTTGGGAACCTCTCTGCATCCAAGGCGCTTTCCGAGGCGCTCTCTTTTCTTCTGCACTTATGGCTCTGGAGGGGCGGTCCTCTCGACTCCCGCGATCGAGTTCTCTGTCTCGGGCACGTAAGCCATTTCGTTCAATGTATTGCTGGCGCGGATCGTCTTGTCTGCGCTCGCTTCCGCGAAGTGCGAGTCCTTTGGATTTTCGAATGCCGCGAGCAATGGCTGTGTTGACCGACGCAGCTCTCCCAGCGTGATATGACAGACGCGATGCAGGAAGAATTGATCTCAAATACCCAATATGGTGTGTTAGGACAATGCTGCTCATCGCATTGATCAAGGGATGGAATTGGGGAGAGGGAGAGGGAGGGGGAGATGGAGATGGAAGGGTGCAGAGGGACCCTTAATCTTGGAGTAGATTTGAGAAAATGTAGGTGGTGAACCAAATAATAAAAATAATCTCCAGCTGTGGACCAGGATGCGTGGGTAAAGGTCGGGTGTTCTTACCCCTGCACCATTCACCACTCCACACCTATCGGTACGCCTTTCAAAGGGTCCACATGTTCTAGAAGGTCCAAGGGTCTGCCATGTGCCATGTGCCTAGCCGAAAGCTGCCATACGAAAGTAAACAACTTGGGCATTCCATAGGTCATAGATGTATTGGTCAACCCCACTCACCAGACATCGCTTGGATTTACATACCTGATTTGGGTTGGACAATAGCTATTATGGTTGTTCGTACTGCATAGGAAAATGGAAGCAGGGCCCCAAAAGCCCTTGTCTCAAGGTCTCGTACCCGAGTAAACCATTTGACTTATTATTCTATCCAAGTGCTTCGAACTTTTCTTCCATGCTATGAAAAGCGACCAAATGAGCCCAATCGAATCAGAATCAATGGATTCTCCCGTGGAATCTCCCTCTATTCTCTTTGGTTCTTCCAAACTAACCAATGGACGCCTTTCGGTCATCCGTCACTATTCTCCTTCATAATGAGAATCGTTGGATTTCCAAAACAGGTAGAGAAGAGCTATTTACCCAAAAGATGTTCTGCTAACGATCAAATAACTAAACTAGTACCTGCACTTATAAGAACCTGAAGAGTCAGGCAGAATTTAAGGTTACTGATAAGCTAAAAAGTGAGGTAATCGGCCCCCGAATCGCCGATATCTTAGCGTCTTTCATAGCGCGAATTGTCGCGTTAAGTGGCAGCACAAATCCGCCCCTCCTCGAATTGTCAACACAAATACATCAACAAAATAATTGGCCACGACGATACCCACACAATCTGTTACACGCCCGCCTCATACTTCCCTTGTGCGCTTTTTTGTACTACAGATCGGTGCGCTTTTCCTCAATTTTCCGATCTTGTTCTGCTCGGCGCGTTCAGCTACTCGGCAGTCAATCCAAGTATCTACTGCTGACAGTTCTGCGGCTGGCCATGCCAGAAGAAGGCGCACAGTTTCATGTTCTTTAGAAAGGTCGGCATGTATGTATTATATCCATTGAATTCGATGCTAATCGCTGTTTGGGCAGATACCAATCACCTTCAGAGCCCTGACCGACCGACTACCATTCGATAGAAGATCGATAGAAATCCATACAGGTCGCCATCATGGGAACCACTACCGTGGCTGTACCCGACTCGGATGGCTCAAAAGATGAATTGAATCAGACGCCAAAGAGAGATAGCACGGAGAGAGACCCATCCCAATCACAATCGGTTCTGTCCCATAGATTTCGAGACTCGTCACAAAAGGTAACTGACAGACCATCCGACAATCGCGCTCGAAAGTCTGGCTCAGTAGACAGTCAAATTGCAGTTATATTACCAGCACCAAGTAGACCTTGGGAATTCAAGAAATACCAGGGTGACACTACTGTTGATTCCGTACTAGAAGAGCTTTATGAGTCAGATGGAGAAACAAAATATAAGATTGAGTATGAGGATGGCAGGAAAGCGATTGTAAGTGTTTAATCTCGTTCAATCTTGACGTCCTATTGTACACATTGTTACAGTCTTTCGTTTGCTCTTTCCTTCACTTTCCAGATTGTTCTCTATGCGATGTTCCCCGTCTACCTATTACTTCCTTGAACCCTATACTTTGAGCTACCCCAAGTGAAACCTTCCATGACCTCGGAGTTGGTTCGTCTCTGTATAACAGACAGGCCTATCTGCAAGGTCGTTGGACTGGGTGACATGGATACTGTGGGTCGGGGCTCCACACGAGGCTCACTTTCGCTTAGCCTGCTAGCGTTGGTCTAGTGGCACCCGTGACTTTGGGGATATTTTCAAAGTTCTCCGTTTTTTACTTCTCAACCTCAACATCTTTCTTTCTCCATCGTACGTTCTCCAACCCAACTTTCTTCCAACGTCCTCTCTGAACTCAATTTTTGGTCGACGCTTCAATATCGTATGAGAGTCACGATTGGACCTTCTTTCTGTTTTAACTTTCCAAGTGCATCTCCCGAAAGGTTCCACAAAGCCACTTTTCCTCGGCTTTGATAACCTCTCACTTTTTCCACTGTGCAAAAATCTGCCTTACCTGTTAATACGTCGAGACTAATCTCATGCTCAGATCTCTCTTGATAAGCTATTGAAGATTCGCAACGGTCGTAACGCACTGGATCTTTTCAATAACAACACACACATGAAGTCCTCAACTTCCCAAGATGACAGTGAAGAACCTGATGTGACTACCAACGCCCGTTCCAAGAGAGCTCGCGGCAAAACTCACCAACCGGGCTTTGTCGACACTTCCAAAATGCAGCTTGATTCTGATGATGAAGAGGATCAGCAAGGGGCTAAGAAACGCCGTATTGAGAAAGGCACAGTATCACGATTGGCCAGAAATGCTACACGACAAAGTAGCAGAGTAAACAGCAATCGCAGTAGCCGCCATACATCTCATGGCAACCAAGATGACGATGACGATGAATCAGATGACGGTGTAAATGTCGCAGTCGTAACGAGAAGACGAGGCGTTCTAACAACTCGCGAATCTTCCAAGGGCACACGCACTTCTGGTCGTGTTACTCGTTCTGCCATGCCAAAAGAACAAGACGACGAAGAAGATGACAATTTGGCTCGTGATATCCAGGAGACGAGCGATAATTCAGATATCCTCTTTGCTGCTAGCGGAAAGCCCAAGACCAGAGCCACAAGAACCAAGGCCAAAACTGCATCTCTTAACCCTCTCAAGACTAAGCGAAGCAGCCGCCGTGATTTCATTGCGGACGAAAGCACGGAGTCTGAGAAACCAGAGCAGCCAACGCGAAAATCTGGCCGCGAGAGAGTACGCAAGAATATGCGAGAACAGGATATGGAAGAGGAACAATTTGCTGATGATGTTGCCAAAGTCAACGTTCCAAAAGTCATCAGTATTCGTGAGGTCTACCAGCAACTTGCCAAAAACTCGCCATTCAAGTTGTACCACAGCAATCAATGCGATACGTGTCGTATTGACGGAAACAGCGTAAGCAAAGGTCCTCTGATCCACTGCCAAGGCTGCTCCACTTCAATCCACAAGAATTGCTTAGGCTATAGAAGCGCACGAAAACACATGGTTACCAAAATCGGCCACGAGGATTTTGTAATGCAATGCCGTCGTTGTATAGGGGTAACAAACAAATATGATGCATCTGCCCCACCCCTGAACAAATGTCAAACCTGTCACAAACCTGGACTGGGTTGCAAGGCCTTTTCTGCGAAGAAGACCTCCAAGGAGGAGGAAAAGATTCGAGAAGCAAACGGTGGGGATGACCCTATAACTGAAGTTTCGGCCGATAAGATCAACAATGCCGATAATCTTCTGTTTCGCTGTGTGGGATGCCAACGTGGCTACCATTTTGAGCATCTTCCCGATCCTAATCGCAATAAAAAGAAAGGCAAATCTAAATACGAAGACCCCGATGCGGTTCGTGAAGCTCGTCGTAAGGAGTACAAAGACTGGCATTGTAGCGACTGCCTTGAGTATACCACAAAGATCACAGGTCTCGTCGCCTGGCGACCGACCAGCCGCGAAGGCTACACCCCGGAGCGAAAGATTGACAACTACACGGAAGGTGAAAAGGAGTACCTAGTTAAGTGGGAAGGGAAGTCTTACCTCCATTGCATTTGGATGTCTGGTAGTTGGGTCTGGGGCGTGACAGCTTCTGTCATGCGAAAGGCATTTGCAGCTCGCGATGAAGGCGCCAATGAAACACCCAAGTGGACGAAGGAAGAAGCAATCCCTGAAGAATTTGTCCGTATGGAGATTATTTTTGATGCTGAGTACAGTGGTGATTTCTCGCCCAAAGCAGAAAAGGCGGATAAAGCCAAGATCCATCAGGTTGAACAGGTTTTGGTCAAATTTCGTGGTCTTGGCTATGAAGAGGCTGTCTGGGAAGATCCACCTAATAAGGAGGAAGAGGAGCGCTGGAACTGCTTTGTGGCAGCATATAACGAGTACGTGGTGGGCGTCTATTATACTCGACCTCCTCCATCAGTGATGAAGAAGAGTGTGGAATTGTTCCGATCACGAAAATTTGATGTCGATGACCAAAAGCAGCCAGCGTCGCTTGTCGGAGGGGATTTGATGCCATATCAAAAGGATGGTATGAATTGGATGCTTTACAAGTATCATCAACAGAAGAATGTTATCCTTGCCGATGAAATGGGACTAGGTAAGACTATTCAAGTAATAGGATTGCTTGCCTCTCTGGTGAAAGAAAATGCCAAGGTACGTACCTACTTAAGTATCTCCCTCTCGGAATAAAACTAACTATATCTGCTAGTGCTCGCCCTTTCTCATAGTCACACCCAACTCAACTTGTCCAAACTGGAGAAGAGAGATAAAGAAGTGGGCACCAAGTCTCCGTGTCGTCACCTTCTATGGTGGACGTGCCGCTCGTGAGATGGCCATGAAATACGAACTCTATCCTGACGGCTGTTCCGACTTGCGAGCCGACGTGGTTGTCACCTCATACGAGGCTCCAGTCGATGATTCTAGCAGATCATTCTTCAGAAGAATCAGTTGGGCAGGTATGATTGTTGATGAGGGACAGCGGCTGAAGAATGATGCGAATCTGCTGTACTCGGCCCTAACTGCTCTCAAAACACCGTTTCAAGTTCTTTTGACAGGTTTGTCTGGCCTTCTTTGTATACATAAACTTCTTACTGACATGGTTTTTCCCAAGGCACACCATTGCAAAACAATAAGCGTGAATTGTTCAATCTGCTTGCTTTTCTTGACCCAACACAAATAGATGCTGCAAAGCTGGAAACAAAATACGAAACTCTTACAAAAGACACCATCTCTGATCTCCAAAATCTTATCCGCCCATATTTCCTCAGGTATTTTTTTTCTCGATGGATAATATTTAACCTTGCTAATTTTTGAGACAGACGAACCAAAGCTCAGGTGTTGAAAGACCTCCCTTCCTTGTCGCAAATGATTCTTCCTGTCTCTATGAGTGTTGTTCAAAAGAAACTCTACAAGATTATCATTGCTAAGAACGCTGAATTGATGAAGTCAATTTTTGGCCAGGATACCGCGCATCTACGCCCAAAAGAGAAAGGCAACCTAAACAACATTTTGATGCAACTCCGGAAGTGTCTTTGCCACCCATTTACCTACAGTCCTGCAATCGAGGAAACCGGACTGAGTCAAGAAGCTACACATCGAAATCTCATTGATGCCTCTTCCAAATTTCAGCTTTTGGAGATCATGCTACCAAAGTTGAAGGAGAGAGGCCACCGCGTTCTCCTTTTCAGTCAGTTTTTGAATCAGCTTGATCTTGTGGAAGATTTTCTTCGTGGGCTTGATCTCTCTTACCGACGACTAGATGGTACAATGTCTGCACAGGAGAAACAAAAGCGTATTGATGAGTTCAATGCGCCAGACTCATCCGTCTTTGCTTTCTTGCTTTCTACCCGTTCAGGAGGAGTGGGCATCAACTTGGCAACAGCTGACACTGTTATCATCATGGATCCTGACTTTAACCCCCAACAGGATATTCAGGCCATCTCCAGAGCGCACCGTATCGGCCAGAAGAACAAGGTTCTTGTTTTTCAGTTGGTGACAAAAGACAGCGCCGAGGAAAAGATTATGCAGATCGGCCGAAAGAAGATTGCTTTGGGCGCTCTTATTGAAACTATGGGGGCGGAAGATGATGACCCAGTTGACGTGGAGTCAATTCTAAAGCATGGCACCGAAGCCCTTTTTGAGGAAGACGATGGAAACGATATTCGCCACGACGAGGCTTCCGTTGACAAACTTCTCGATCGAGCACAGGTGGATGAAGTCAACACCGATCAGGCCGCAAACGCAAGCTCCACTTTCTCCCTTGCACGAGTCTGGGCACAAGACAAAGGCACACTCGAAGAAGACTTGGGCGACAATGATGCTGAAGACGACGCCCCGAATCCTTCAGTATGGGATAGCATTCTCAAAGAGCGTGAAGCACAAGCAGCACTTGAAGCCGCAAAGAATGTGCAAGATTTTGGACGTGGAAAGCGAGTACGCAACGTGAGTCATATTCTTTTCAACAAGCAACGTGGTTCATTCACTAACTGGATAGGCTCCTGTTTATGGTGGTGATAAGCATGGCGCTGACGACGACGACGCTCCCCGCCGACGACGTTCACAGGTAGACCACAGCGACCCAGAATTCGGTGTGAACGCAGATGCAGCTGAATCCGACCCCGACGACTTTTCCGGCGACGACATGATCGATCCTCGAGAGCTTGAAGCAGGTACAAAATCCAAAGGTACGAAAGAATCCGTGAAAGCTCGTCGAAGTCCATCAAAGCCTACAACCGCAAAATCCCCGAGAAAGGTCAAAGTGTCCCCTGTCTCAAAAGGGGTTAAACGAAGTCAAGTTCACTTCAAGCCATCCATGCCTGAGTCAGACGCACCGCTCGCCCAGTCAGCAGCAGTTGAACGTATCGTCAACAAGAGTAACAAGAGGAGAAAGTTACAATCAAGCTCGACTAGTAGTCTACAGCGCAGTTCTACTCCCTCTCCCTCTGAAGTCCCAGTTCCTCCTGGTCTTGCCCGACCCATTTCGCAATCTGGCTCGACCAGTGGTCTAGGTCACAATTCATTTCTCACTCCTTCTGCCGTTTCTTCAAGTTTGGGTCGGCCTGTGCCGCCCCTGTTAGGTTTCAACTTCATGCAATCCCAATTCAATCCTCTTACTAATGGTATTCAGTCGATGCATCCACCACAGGGCTTTTATCAGAGTCAACCAAACTCACCAAGACTGGAAAGTTTCGTATCCCAGTTCCGCCGACCAACATTCACCCTCCCCCACCGAGACCACTCCCTTCAAATGTCCCCTATCTTCCAAGCAACGGCGCCCCGCCACAAGGTGGTTATCGATTTGACGACCCCCGAGCCAGAGGATATGTCCCACAGAACCAACCAAACCCTCTCAACCAATTCCCCTCAAATCAGCCACAGAGAGCCTATGGACCAACACCAATCCTTCCTCCAACGCAATACCAGGGAGGTTACATGCGACCAGCCCCGTCCTTCCTACCACCAGCCAGCCACACCCCAGTCCCCCAGATTGTTGACCGGTTTGGAAATGCGATACCCGTGAGAGCTGGACAGTCGATATCGGTGCCACGGCCAGGTGCTCAGCCTTGTTACACTTGCGGTTTGCGTCATATTGGGATTACGCCTAGCTGCCCTACCTTCTCTTCGTCGATTGAGATTCGTTTGATGCTGGATGCTTTGGTTACCAATAGACCTCCACATCCAGCCGAATTCGTTGGAAAAGCCAGGACGTATTTGGAGAAAGAGTTGAAGCGCAACACGGCTATTCGACTATCTCAGCGACAATCCAATTGAGCGGCGCACAGGCGTATTTGAGTACACACATTTTCCCCTTCTTTTTCCCCCTTTCAGCCAGCCAATTGCTTTTTCGCGAAATACCAAAAAATCAGAGCAGGGGTTTTCCACCGTCCCTTTCACGACATGCGTTTTATTAGAAGAGACGAAGCATGTAAGGGGTACTCTGACCGATGTTAGATTACGAGCTTTCTTTTTTTGATTTTCCTTCATTTCATTTTTTTCATTGGTTCTTCAATTGTCCTTACCTTGCCGACCAAAAAGGGGTGATAAATGATTACACGATGTGACAGCTGTTACTTTGGAGCCCTTTCGTCTTCTGGTCGCTCTTTCTCCCTTGAGCGGATCTTAGATCTTTTTTCTGAGACGTGGTTTGAGCTGTTCACTTTTTTCTTCTTCTTTTTGACACGGTGGGGGATGAGTGAGTGAGTGAGCGAGCATTTTTCTCACGGTTTTTGTTGGGGGGAAACCTGATGGATCGTGGGGATATGAGCGAACTTTTCTCTTTCTTTTTTGAGATGTGTGAGGGAGTGTGAGGGAGTGTGAGGGAGTGAGAGGGAGTGGGTTGCATGCATGCCTTTTAGGGTGTGCGGCATGTGTATGTGTACATATGAACAATATACTTTATGAAAATCATTGGAGATGTGTGATGTGATGTGATGTGAGGGGGAGAAAGTGTTTTGATCATACATACAGTGGGAGTTTTTGAGGTGTGTTTGGGGAGTCCTGCTCTTGGGGTCCTGAAAAAACGTCGGAATTTACCCCTGGAAAAAAGAGCTCTCTTTCAGCAATTGTACGGCGCTATATAATAATAAGGTAAGGAAAATACTTAAGAACTACTATAATAATAGTTTACTTAAATTCTGAGTTAGCTAATAAATTTTATATGCTTTTATAATTTAGGTACAGTAGCATTTGTAATCAGTCTTCAAGTAAGGGCCTGTTTGGCTCGCCCAATTTAGAGATTTGTACCAGGTGTAAAAGTCTTAGATTTGCACGGGTTGGAGGAACCCCAAGGACTCATGCAAAAGTTTCCTGATTTGCATGCAAATTAGACTATTGTGACGAAACAAATACACCACTGTTTGGCTCCTGCAAAAGTTTTTTCTATGTCGTCGCATATTCGTCGACTTTTGTAGGTTCCGTCTATATAACTAATTTTTAGTACCACACTACGATTTAGTTAGTTCCATCTAACCAAGTACTTAACCGAGTAATTATATAAACTCTTTTTATCTTATCCCCCCTAAGCTTCGAAGTGTATTATAGAGTTTTAACGTAATTTTATATATATATAATAATTAGCCGAGGCCTAGACTCCTAATACAGCGACGAAACAGCCGATTCTCTTCTTCTTATCGCACAATTAACGTCACTTTAATAAAGTACCTAGATCAATCTCAGGCTCGTGGTACAGTATATTAAAGTAATATTTCGGGTTGTTTATCGACGTAGTTCTAAGCGAGCTAGGTGGATCCGACCAAGTTTTAGTATAGGATTAGTACGTAGGATGGAGAAAGAATTACACGGAGATTTGTACAAATCTTAAAATTGAAGGGTTAAGGGTTCAATTCTTTTATAAAGGTTTCTAGGTAGTGCAAATCTAAAAAGAATCATATCTACGATTTGTAACGAATTTATAATTAGTACAAAAGAAACTTTTGCAGCTATCCAAACAAGCGCGCATATCCTAAATTGCATGCACATCTTTTTATATGGTGCAAATCTCTAAATTGGGCGAGCCAAACAGGCCCTAAAGGGTGTGCAAAGGGATAAAATCCCGACGTTTTTTCAGGACCCGAAGAGTCCTGTGCTCGATACTGTGCTATTTTCTTGGAAGTCTGGTTTGGTTTGGTTTTGATGATGGGGGTGAGTGCGTGAGGTGCGTGAGTGGGCCAGTGGGTGATACTATACTATACTATACTATACTATACTATACTATACTATACTCGACAGCGTTCAAGTCGTAAGCGAGGGTGGGTGCTTGCTCAATCCCTAGGTACCTACCTGGTCCAAAAACCCTATGAACGGCGCAGGAGATATTGTAAGATGAAATGAAATATCCATTCATATACGGAGGAGGTGGGGTATCAAAAAAGTGCCCTAGGAGAGGGAGGAATTGAGGGCTTTTGAGCCCCCACCTCCTCTGTGTGTACGTCCTGGCTTCTTATCCGTATGTATACAGAATCCATCCAAGTCGAGTAAGATTCCCATCGAAGCTAAAGCTAAAGCATCAAACAAAATATATTTCTACCAATCTACGTAACTTCAAGGAACTTTTCTTTCCATCTTCTTCTTCTTCTTCTTCTTCTTTGTTTAGGTAGGTAAAGAGATGCTATAATAAATACGAGGAAGGAGGGATACAAATAACAGGGTATTCTTCGTGTTCGGTGCAGCCAACTAAAAATCAGGATAAAAAAGAATAAAAGAATTAAAAATCAATCTTTTTCCCTTTCCCCAACGCCGATGAAATAAAGATACTGTAATAAAAGTTCAATCTTATCTCTTACTCAGTCAGAGGCACCATATCCCTCATCGTCCGAATCTGAGTTCATGAGGATCGCCCTGTTTGAAGAATTAGCTTTTTCTAGTCGTCACTTAGTTGAGGGAGGCGTGTCTTACGGGAGAGTCTCAACAACCACCTCGTTTTCCTCGTAATGTGTGATAAAACCACCACCCAATATTCTCTTCAACGTTTGAAATCGGTGGAGCTTCCACCATTTGTCGATTTGCAGGAGACCGAAATCGCGGAGTTTGACGGTCATTCGTGATCCATACACACGGCCCTCTTTGTCGCGAGCCATAGAATACCTTGGTCCGAGAGTAGGATGCTCGACTGCGTGAAGAATATCTGTAAAATTCGCGTGAAGTGTCTTTCGGTCCTTTTTCCCAATTCTCTTCGATGACTCGGTGGCAAGTTGTGAAAGAGTCTGCTCCAATTGGTATTTTTGACGGTAGACTTCGTATCGCTTGACCCAGGATTTTTCGACGTGGTAGATGGCAGAAATCTCTTCATAAGTGACATCGTCCGAGATGCGTTCCATCGCAGGTGCAGCCCCATCACCCTCTTCCCGTTCCGTGTAGCTCTTCTCGTAAAGCAATGCAATGTTCTGTCCAACCGCAACCTGAACTTTGGTGTCTGTACTCTCTAACTGCTCGACAAATGCTTCTATAGCTGCTTCTGTCTTTTCTTCCATGTCGTCAACCGATGTCGCAAGAAATCCCCATACTTGGCATGCTGCAGTAACTACCTCTCCAATATCTGCAGCCTCGACTGAACTGCCATCTGATTCAATGACCTCGAGCAAGTCATCCATTATGTCTTCAATTTCGCCTTCCGCAGCACCACCGAATATCGCGGCGGCACCGAGTGTATGTATTGCTGTGGCCTTGACCGAAGGAAATCGCGAGTCTGTGTACAAAACTTTCAAGGGTTGGAATAAGCTAGCGTATGCTGTCTCCGATGGAACTGTAATAAGTGTCAAGGCAATTGCTGAAATCTCAATTAGTGAAGCTCGGGATTTCCAGAGATGCATGGAAAACTGACCTCTCAAGGCAAGACATGTTTCTTTTTCGGTGCCATCTGCTTTGATGCTCTTGAGAAATGCTGGGAAGAGTTCACCGGTTTTGTGGCGTGTTTCCTCGTAGGCATAATGATTCATGAGGTAATAAACATATAAGTTCAAGGCAGATTCTCGTCCCTGTGTGCTACTTCTTTTTCTATTGATGATCTCTTCTATGCGATTGGCGAGATCTCCTTTCCAGGCTTCCGAGGCGTCTTCCGGTACCTCGGCTGCTAGTCGTTCGTTCAAAGAATTCATACTGGAAGCAACTGGTTAGTTATGAGCACCAATTCGGCATCCTGCTCTGCTACCCACCTCCAGTTTGTGCAGTCGCTCATGGCGTCTTCATCATCCGAGGCATGCCGGCTCGCATTCCTGCTGTTTGTGCGCGAGTTTGCGGCCGAGGAGGCGCGAGAGGAGATTCGGGATTGTGCCTTTCTGGAAACAGTTTTCCCGCTCTCCAGGGCTTGTCGTCTCAGGTCGTGCATGTTTGCGATAGCAATAGCTTCTTGTAGAAATCTGGTCGGATTTGGTTCTCTCAAAGAAAAAAAGGTGGCAAGAGATGTTGGAAAATTCGATGGAGGTGCGGGGTACCCATACAAGAGTGTTTCTTGCTTGGATTTTGGACCTCACACCCAAGCTGCCTGGTCGCAGGATTGATGACGTCGTCGTGTTATCGCAGAGCTCGATCGGTAGGTGTTTGCGATAGTGGTGATAAAGCTAGTTGCTCCATGTGAGTTAGATGATGGTGTTGGTAGGAGGTGACCGTTTTTCAGGCTACGATGTAGCGTTGTAGAGTAAGCTGGAAAAAGAAGTAGAGTATTCGGTAGTGTGAGAAGCTACCTACTGGTATTGTAGGTAGCTTCTGGTAGGTGAAGTGGCTCGAGAGCGGGACTTGAGGGTTGTAGCGCCTTCCAGGGATTGGCTACCTAGGTACTTGGTAGGTATCTACTAGCGAGCTAGGTTATGAGTAACCTAGTCTGCCCCACAAAGATCGCCCTGGCCCAATTCACTCCACAGTGGATCTCCAGCTTGAGTTGGTCGTCAAGATGCAGGTGATCATAGCCAGACGGTCATGAAGTCCTGGTACTCGAGTACTTGCTCCGTACACCTTCTAGAATTTGTCGAAAATCCATTATAATTATCTCGTCGAAGAGTCTGTTAGAAACTTGGTTCATAGGTACCTAGAGGTATTACTTATATAGAAATCAGATACTTTGGTGCCTTCCGGGTACTCGAGTACGTATTAGTATTATCCCAAAATACTTCTGAAGTCGCTAGAACTGCAGGTTGTACTGTAATAGACCAGATATTAGCGTTTGATCCCTAGGGTTCATATCCTAGAGTTCTTCTTAGAAAATGGCTTCAGAATTGGTCCAAAGATCTAGATTTATCATATACTACCTAGGTAAATCGACTTCATAGGTTCAGAGGATGAAGGTAGGCTCAGTAGGTATGCAGTGGACTTACTCGTACCGAGAAAGCACGTGGCGAAGAGTGACGCCGCTTCCAAGGCTTCTATATATGCTCTATGAATCGCATCGCTAACCTTTACCTTTTCATAACCACCTGCAGCCTTTTCTCAAAGTGACGCTGGATCAGTACTCCGTACACCCTCTTTTGAATCCGACTTTCAGGGTTGAATGACTACATGTATGGGCATTTAATATAGGAAAAAAAAGTCATTCGTTCGGTAGTCAGGTAGTGAATGAGTGCTCGAGTACTCCGTACTTGATACTGGACTTCACCTCGAGTAGGTGAGCTCGAGGTGAGTCAGTAGAGGCCTCGAGGACCCACAACCAGCTCCACCTCCAGGCTCCAACTCGCCCCGCGCTTCCCTTGGCGCCGCTCCGCTCCTTATCGCTATCAGGTAATCGCTTCTGTTGTCCGACTAGGTACAGCCCAGTACTTGCCTGGCCATACTCCGTACATCCATCTCAACCCCTCCTTATACTTCCTCCACACTACCACACCACAACTCTATCTCCTCCACTCCACCACCACCCATTCCCATCACCGCCTGCTCCCGACTCTCGCCTTGCCTCGTTCTTTCCCGCAACACATCTTGAGGCTTCCGTCTTCTAACAACAACACCAACGTCTTCCTCCACCCCGCCTTATCGTCTCCCTTGAGCCCGGAATCTTCCTGCAGCGGAGAACGTATGTGTTTCATCACGCCCTCCACTTCAGTTCTCGTATAACTGAACACAAACAGCGCTCAAGGGCCTCAACGACACCATCGGAATTGCTCATTACCATCAATATAATCTCCTCATAATCACCAGATGAGTAGTGACAAGATGCATCATCAAGGTACGTTCTGCCATCAGTTTGTTGCTCACCGGATCCGCGAACAAGGCTGTATTCACCCCACACCCCACACTACACAATATACTATATGCTATGGAAGACTCCGATCTTAGGAACATCATCACAGCTGTAGTATCGCCTTGATGGTTCCCTCAATTCTCTAGATTATCTTCACCTGCCTGTCTGTCGGCGATAGCCGACGCTGACGCTGACGCTGACCGACTATAGTTTCCGTAACCCTCACTCCCATAACAGGCAATTTCGCCCCACGCACCCTTCTCCTCACACCAAGAGACGATACAACTCCCATCGGCCGAGCTTCCAAGAGTGTTGTGAAAGGAATTCTGGGTGCGGAAGACAATGCCTGGTTTGACAGTCCCGTAATGTCTCGCGATCATGCTGAACTCCGCCTGAATTCCAGTACATCGGTAAGCAAAACGCATAATTGTGATGACCATGCTAACTCTGTTAAGACTGTCACTATTCACGACAGAGGATCTATGCACGGCACATTCTTAAATGACAATAAACTTGAGGAGATGAAGGATGCCGCCTTAAATAAGGGTGATATCTTGGTATTTGGTGCTGAAGTGAAGCGGGGTCTGGAAGTTTTCCCTGCCTGCTCTTTCAAAGTAGACCTCGCATTTGCTCCCTACAAGTAAGCATTCTGATCTCTGCGAAGCATCTTCATGATGCCCCTTGAGCATATACTGATTTTACTTCACAGTTCGGGAAACACCTTTTCTGCTCCAGATTCCGACCTTGACGAGGACGAAGAAATGTATGGTTCTAGTGACAATGATAAGGATGAGCGTGATCAAGTGTCCAGCGTTGATGGTATATCTATCGAAAGTCCTTCTGCTGTTGACCACATTGCCTGCCCCCAACCCATCAAAGTTGTGCGTTCAATCCAGGCAATTGATCTTACCGGTGATGACTCGCCTATTCTCTCAGGAAGTTCTCAAATCATCGACCTCTTGTCACCTTCTCCCGATTTCCAAGCCATGGAAGCAGCGCCGGATACATCGACGAATATGGGTCGTACAGTCCAGCAAGGAAGGGTTGTAATGCACTCTGAGGATGGTGCATCGCTATTTGTAGGAGATAGTGAGGAAGATTACTCTGAACTCGACGATCGTTCCGAGGTTGCACTTTCAGAGGGTTCTGAGGGTTCAGAAGATTCTGATGACTGTCTTTCAGAGGACTCGATGGAACTTGATGGCGAGGATGCGGAAGAGATGTCAGAAAGTTCCGACTCTGAGAATGCAGACGACGATATCCATGATTCCTTCAGCGAGCAAGATATCGATTCGTCAGCACAACATTTTTCTACATATCCACAACTTTTGGGTACACCTGTTAAGACGCAAAATTATGCTGCAGGATCCGAGGATTTCATGGATAGTGACGATAACGACGAAGATGATGACCACGATCTGGGTCATGTTAATGAAAGCACTGGGGCACTCTTGAACGAGTCTGCAAATGTGCACCTGCTAGAATGTGTTCTTACTAAACAGAATCGCACTGTTACCGCTGCACCCATGAGAGAAACTACCTTCAATTCAGTCGATGGCATCTTAGATGAAATATTGCATGCCGCCGATGAGGACTCGGAAGCTTCGGATGCGGAATCCCACCCACCGATTCCTATCAGTGCAGTTCTTGGAGAAAGCTCTGCCGGTCCTGTTTCCAGTGGTCCAGTAGATGTCCTACCTGCCAAAGACTTGTCATATCAACAGGGCCCTCTTGTTGGTATCTCGCTTGCTGCTAGGCAACCGAGTCCATCTGACGCAGCGATGGTCAAGAAGAGTCCACCAAAATCCACCGAGCAGACGTCCTTCTTCAAGCCCCTAGACCATAGTCAAATCTCGCAAGCTCTTGGCGACAAGACGGGAAAGCACGCTTTCTTCGAAGCACGAGAGAAGAATAAAGCCAAACTTGTTTCGGAGACTGAAAACCAAATACAATATGCCTTCCCTATTCTTGAAGGCGACACTCCAATGGGATATAAAAGAGCCTTGGGGGAGTGGAATGAGTTTCCAGTAAAGCAGAACAACAACACATTTGGTGCCACCAAATCTTCCACCAGCGAGGCAAGCAAGTTATCTGTATTTCTCAATCGTGCATCGGAATGGAATACCCCGTATCAAATGCAAGAGTCTCTTCTCGCAATTCCGCAAGTATCTTCCACTAAATTGGAACGTGCAACTAGTCCAGATTACGACATGACCAGCGCTGTTTCTTTCAATGAAAGCAAAGCCAAATCTATTCGCTCCAGAGTAAGCATACATGACATCATCGAAAGCTCTCCTCGAGCTCCATCTCCACCGAAAGCTGAAGCCAAGGCTGGCAATAAGCGTAAGGCAGACGAGATATCTAATTCTATTCAAGAAGAAGTCAGAGCTTGGGCTTCGTCACCAGACCGTTCACCCGTTGAAATGGCTACCAATATTGCAACGACCGTTCAAGAAGAGCGTCCGACAAAGAAGCTCAAGACGGTATTGGACCGAGTAGCTTATGCTGCTGTTGGGGGATTTGCGGTGGGAGCTACACTTTTCTTTGGCCTGGTTGCAACGGCCCCCAATTTTGCATGAGGTTGTAGATGGCATGATTTAGTCTACGATTTCCTTTTTTTCTTTGAGACACAATGGAATTAGTCGCTTAGGGGGTAGCTAGGCTAGGTTGGGGGTCTAACAGGCTGGGCTAAGTAAGTTAGGGTTAGGGAGGCGCATCGATAATGATTATGAGGGTTTCTTTTCTCATTTCATTTCTTTTTTCTTTTCCTCTGGCTAGGCAGGGTACACCATATTCACCGCATGCATTTCGGCGCTCTTTCCTCGATCAGGTTTGTTTTTGGGGGGCGCTCTGAATGAAATGGACTCACTGGCTTTTGTGTTGATTTTTTTCTTTTTTTGCGACGGATGGTTTGCGATGTTCATTAGTGCTAGCTAGCTGGTATAGGGTGTTCTAGCTAAAGGAAATACACTTCACGTTTTTCTTTTGTGATGATAATGTACAGAGTGAAGGGTATGTGTGGTGTTTTTATGTCTGGTATTTGAATCGTGGGGCTGTGAGGTGGGGTGTGGTGTTGAAGTGTGAGTGATGGGTGGGTAGTTGTACTGTGTCTTTTGTGTTTTTTGTGCTTATTTGAGGAGGAGGGTGTTTTGAGATGAGATGAGATGAGTTGAGATGGGGTTGGAGGAGTGAGTTTCATGGTTAGTGGGTTAAGTACTCTTCAAAGTTTTTTCGTTTCTTTTCTTTTCTTTTTCATGGTCTATGTACAGTATCTTGACTATACGCCTCTTGATTGCCTCTTTCTTTACTTGTAGGTTTGAAATATGGATAAATTGGTGTCTGGAATCTGGCTAGGAGTCATTCCAGATAGTGGTGAGCGCGGCGGCCATTGGATTTAGTGGATTTGTTGAAGTGGAAAATGGTTCTGGAATCTTGTGTTGATGTATATTGTATATTGTATATGGGGGGTAGGAGAGGGAAGAGGGGAGTGAGGTGATGTATCTAACGGGGGTCCTACTGAACTCTTTTTCTTGTGGTAGTACTGTGATGTGGGGAGTGGGTTGGGAAATTGGGGGATTGGGACATTGGGATGAGTAAGTGAGGTGGGATTTATAAAGGAAAAGGGGGAAAAGGGTTTTGAGGAGGGTGTGAGGGGTGGGTACTGGGGATTGGTAGATATTGGAGGGGGTTTGATGAGGGGGGATTTGTTGTGTTCTGGGGGAAAGGGGAAAGGGGGGGCCTGACTAGGGGTTTGGGTTGTTGGTGCGCAGTATATTATAGGAGATGGAAGGATGCGTGGAGGTAGGAGGTATGGAGAGGAGGTTGTTTTGGGGGGGATTTCTTGGTTGTTTTTATGGACTTTTGAGAGGGGTGAGGGGGTTTGAGTACTGTACTTCTTGAGGAATGGGTGGGGGTTGAGATACTGGGGTTACTATGGAATCTTCTTCTTCTTTCCTTTGGGTTTCTACGGGCGATGTAAACGGAGTGAGGGTGATGATGTAGATTCTCCGCTTTTAAGGGTAGGAAACCTTTGGTGTATGGTCTTGGGGTGTAGTACAGTAAGATTATTGTTACAGCTACATTTATGGGTTGCCATCTCTTGTACTTGTTGTATACACACAAACTCTTCTCAGAGAAGATAGAGCTGTAGTTGCATTTAATGAAAGACATGAAAGATCTCCGAGGTCGAGGACAGGTGGGTTTATATGGGTATGGTGTGGTAGATTTCCAGTGGTATGAGGTATGAACCTGAGAAAGCGGTTCTGGTAAGTTTATGAGCTGCGCATGGTTTAGTTGAAAAGACTTTGCTGATGTGTGGCTTTCCGGCTCAGTTTGGGATTGGTAGTTATGGGTTATTTGCTGTGATTCAGGAGGTATATACTGTATGAGATGATGCCTTGAGATGGGAGTGGGATTAAAAGAGGTGAGGAGATGGGAATGTGTAAAGGGGATGTTTATTGTACCGTGTACACCTCGAACCTGTGCTGGAAACCTTTCCACAAATTTCGTTTCTTTCAGAAGGGTTGGCATGATATCTTCTCGGGATGGATGTGAAGTAGTGCTGGGGTGGTCTTGCGTAGACGGATGATAGGAGAGGGGTGGGGGGTAATCGATGTGCATACGTCGCTATGGAAATTTTGGCTCTCTTGAGTTTTTAGGAAAAATGGCTTTTGCGTTTGGGATATGGAATACATGGTATTTAGGAATCAGGATTTCTTCTTCTTCTGTGCGTTCTGGTGTAGTGGGTGAGAGTGGAGGTGGTGCGTAGCGAAGACTGGATTTGGCGCTATTCATCTTGATGCGGTTGCAGCGTTGGTTAGATATACAGCATCGAACTTGTATTTGGCTGCTAGATTAGGAGGAGAACGACATGACATCGGCTTACGATTTGTTTCCGAGGATTTTCTTCAGAGGGGGTTTGGGTATAGGATGAGGGGTTCGAAAAGGAGTTCGTCGGGTTGTTTATTTGGTTTCTGATAGATTGCTTGGGGATGGCAAAGCGCGGGTTCTAGTTAATTAGGAAGCGAGGCCTGAGGAGTAGCAGCGCCATTGACGTCTTGCCCACTTGGTTTGTATTGCATGCTTTTACAAGACTTTGTTCTTGGAGAGTTGATTGGTGGGAGTTTGGTTTTGCGGATTCGACTGGGGTTTTGCGGGGGAGTTCATACGTTGTTGGCGGGAATTGTAGGAGAGTGAGGAGGTCTTACAAAGAAAGCAGTTGTTAAATTGTTCAATTCTCGGCCTTTTTTGCCGAAGACACTTCGGATTCGGCTGATAGGAGTTTTTCTGTATGTTGCATGTTTAGTATGACACTGGTAAGCCTCACTTATCTCTGTGATGCGGTCTGGCGTGGCGTGGCGGTAGACTGGTACGAATGAAGCGTTTTATGAAATCATTCTTGGGGTAGGTGAGCTATCGTATTTTGCGGCTGAAGGGAAAGGGGATTGTTGCCCCTGTTTGTGTTCATGTTCGTGAGTTTTGTGTGGTAACGGGTTTGTGCAGTCCATCGGACATGTCCTTAGTATGTGCACAGGTGGGTTTGACAGGACCTGTTGGAGAGCGGGGATAGATGATGCAGTCCTATCGCTTATTATGATAGGATAATGTCTGTGTCACACGAGGGAAAATGGGGGTGGGGGGAACGGTCAATTTGGGGGATAGCGTGGGATTTTCTGGAGAAGGTAGGGCAGAGCAGTTGTGGCGGATGGATGAGTGACCCCATTCCACGTGGATTGGATAAAGATGGAAGGCTCGAGGTTGGAGAGGAGTTACGACGTTCAGTTGGTAGGAAATTTCCCTAAACTGAGGCTGAGCGTTGTATGTGGACATCAGGATGGCAGTGTTATTCCTCTGTCGGGGTCGAGTGACGACGTGGTAACTCCCCTAGTTCGATGCCGAAAGGTTGACGATGGGTTGGTGAGAAAGAAATATTGTGTGGCACGAGGTTCACGGGGCTTATGCTAATGAGTTGCCCAGATAAAGATTACAAATCTTTGACTTACTAACCCTACAGAGACCGATCGATTGAGTTGCGTTATTAGCTTCTATTTGAAAATACGTGTGTGACATGTATACTTCGTAGGATTAACAGCAAATGGGAAGGGTGCCGAGGGTGGACCACCAATATCTCGCTTATTTCCTATTTTAGGTGAGATTGATACTTTTTTTTTGTCCTCTCATAATGTTTTTCAGATGAGACATTCAAGGTAGCGCAAACTCTCATTGTAAAGGTTTAGCCCGACAGTTATAATCAGCTGATATAGAACTCTGAAGACCTTGAGGTTGAAAGCAGGTTCTGAACCTTGCTCTCTCTTTACCTCAATCTAAAGGTCTCGCGATCTTGCTAAGGGAATCGTCGATCATAGTGGGTTTCCACATTGCTCATGGTGCGGGGCACACCCTTTTCATTTGAATAACAAAATCGATGGGCGGCAGTCCATACACTGAGGTATATCTTGACGCTATGGATGGGGAACAGCACATCATCGTACCAATGCCAGCTGGTCGAAATTCTGGCAGCAGATTCCCGCATGAACAAGGTCCAATCCGCTCCAGTTCAGGAGATTTGACACAAGCTTAACTACTCAAGTTACGCTTTCCAGAAGTTTACCAAAAGAACAGATGGACGCAAATTCCTTGATCCTTGGTTGTGTTGCATAGAGCTGGACGCCAATCATTCGATGTTCCCACCCGCACAGTAAAAACGGGTAGCGGCATGTGCTCGGGTTCCAAAGCCACGATTTTGGCAGTAGTCGTATTGTGAGTGGCTTATCAGAAGTCCCTCGTGGCATAATTAAAAGTACAAAAGCTACTGCCTATTCCTCATGGTGACTAGACGTCGTCTTATATCAAAACACAACAGTGGTCGCTGTAGTAGATAACCGAAAATCAAGACTGTCACTCGGAGCTAGACGGGCCGTTCGGTACGCCGATTCGAGACAGAAAAGGCAAGAATATCGTCTTCTTAGAAGTCCTTCTTCCTTCCCGTCTTTCGGCGGCCTTGCTGCAGGTGTCGAAACTGATGGCAGCACCGCACCATCGCCGATTAAACGCCACGATAGAGGAATTCGCGAATAGAATAGTCTGATTTCCTTATTATATCAAACGACGATCAATGTGGCTCTCCTATCTGCCCGGCTGGGGTCCCTTGCATGTTGATATAGTATAGCCAACCAATGCGAATACCCAATGCAATTTTTCATGCGCGTTCGTCTCGAAGGTGTACTCTGCCATTCGTTCCCGATAAAGCTACCATGGCATTGGTACCGAAGAAAAGCAAGGAGGTGTCCCTCGTGGCGCCATTGAGAAGCTGACCCCGAACAAGCAGATCACTTTCCTAATGTATGTTGGTTATAGTTGATATGTGAGCGATCCAATGGCGCACAATACCACTGTTGGTCCTAGAGGCGGTGTGGGTGTCGGGAAGGAGATATCTCCTTCTTGCTACTCGGGCAGGCACACGTCGACCCGAAGACGATGCCTAATTACACCAGTACGTATCGTGAAAGTCACGAGCACTAACTCAGGTGTACGATGAGAAGATGGGCGTTGCATCGTTCACGGCCAGCTCAAGTATAAGAGGCCGTCCAGGGCGCTCAGTGTGAAAGGAGATCTCTTCTCTCCACCAGGTCTCAACCGGATTTCAAGATAATCAAACTATCTTCAATTTGAGCCCTTTCATATCATTCAAACTCCATCATATCAAGATATTGGACCGCTCATCAAATCTTACCCCTCTCAATACCCACGACAGAACTCCTCGATATACAAACGCGCTCGTCACTTGCGCTCGTCACTCAATGCCTTGCCCTCTAACCTCAACCATGATCTGTAAAAGCACTAGCTGCCTTTGCGATTGTCAACATATGACATGCCCAGACTGTGGTGGACACCCAAGAAAGTATGGACCCCTTTGCTCTAACATCCGAGCTTAATTATAGCATCGACTAACATCCTCAAGGAGGGAGACATGCAACACTTGCCAAAATACAGGGGTTATCGTCAAAAAGTAACCAGCAGAAAAAAATGGGCGCCTCCTTCGCATGATGCGCGAAAATA